TAGTTATAATTCTTGTAGTAGTTGCTTGAGGGTTTATAATATCATAGCTGAACTGACCAAGAACTAAATCAGACTTCTCTGTAATGTCATTGATTGTACATTGAATTTGATTAGGTTCTCAGCTAACTCAGCTTGCAGTAAGAATCATAGACCCCAGTTCGTGAGTGGAGGTACATTATTACCAGTTTCTGTAGCCTAGATGACTTACGATGGTGCCCTTCGACTTTCCCTTCCTGTTCTGTGCCGTTATTGACCTGCATATGTTATTTACCACCCAATGCCTCCTCTTTGTTTCTGATTTAATCGCTCAGTTATCTTTTTACATGCATGAAATTAAAATAAAGATCTCACAACTGGCTGAGCAGTTAAATTTCCGTGTCATTGTTCCTTTCTGCAGACTCAGGTTCTTTGGGCATCTTTGTGGCTCACAAGACTTCCTTAGCCTGCAGGTCTGTTGGAAATGAGCTGTCAGCTGTGTGTATCTGAAAAGACCCTTTGGTCACCTTCGTGTGTAGAAGATAACTTTGCTAGGTATTGAGTTCTAGGTTGGTAGGTTTTTTCCAAACCGTAGTCTTCTAGCTCATATGGTTTCTAACATGAAACCCTCTGGGATACAAACTCCTGTTCCTTTGCAATGTTATTTTTTTTTCTTTCTCTTTAAGCCTCTAAGATTTTCTACTTACTACTGATCCTCAGCAGTTCACTGGAGTATTTTATTTGGTATTTCTTGATTTTGGGGTTCTTTGAACCTCTTGAATCTATACATTTGTGAAATTTGGAAAAGCATGGTTATTATGTCTTCAAATATGTTTTCTCCCACCTCTTCCTCCCCTTTGAGTCCTTGGGTGACATGATGTATCAGCTTAAAATTATCCCCGTGTACCAGTGTTCTGTTTAGGTTTCAGTGTTCTCTATTTCATTTTGCATGGTCCCCATTGTGCTGTCTTTAAGATGATTAGTCTTTTTCCACAGTGAATACTGTGCTATTAATATCACCAGTGTGTTGCATCTTCTGTGTTGCAACCAGAGGTTTGATTTAGGTCTTTAATATCCTCTGTGGCTTTCACATCTTTAATTTTCATCCATCCACCTGAGTAGAACACAGGGATGATAATGGCTCCAATATCCTGTCTGCAACACTATTGCTCTGTCATTTCCTGTTTAATTTTAGTGGATTGATTTTTCTCATTATGAATTGTGTTTCCCTGCTTCTTTGTGGGAATTATACATTGTGCTTTCCTGATTCTTTGCAACTCAGTGATGTGGACTGAATAATTCTGACCCTACAAAATTCATAGGTTGAAATCTAATACTTATGGAGATGGGATTTGGTGGTGGGGCTGTGTTAGCTTTCTGGTGCTGTGACAAAGTCCCTGAGAAGGATCAACTTGAAGATTCGTTTTGGTTCACAGGATCAGAGGGTTCAGTCCATGGCCAGCGGGCTCCATTGCCTTTAGGCTGTAATGAGGCAGAGACATTCTGATGGAAGGCATGGCGGGGGACAGCTGGAAGGAGGGAGGCTTTGGAAAGGCGGGAGAGGAAGAGAAGTCCACCTGTGCTGATGATCTTCCTCTTGTGTCCTATCTCACTGCCACCCCGTCAGACTGTACCACCCTCCTTCAGGACAGGCAGATCTCCCCCTCTGTCTACACTCGCGGCTGGAGTACCCTCACCAGCTCACCCACCTACCTGTGCCCTGGACTGGTTCCCTAGGTGTTTTTCACTGTGACCAAGTTGATAGTCAAGATTTCATTTGGGAGTGAGATTAACGCCCTTATGAAAGAGACCCCAGAGAAGTCCCCCAAGCCCCCGCCCTAGAAGGATGGGAGGATAGCAGGAAACCAGCTGTCTGGGAAGCAGGAAGCCCTCACCAGACACAGAATTAGCCAGGGCCCTGGTCCTGGCCTCCCTGGCCACGAGGACCGTGTAACATGGCACTAGCTGCTGGAGGGTTCCTGGGCCACTCTGTCTGGTCACCACAGCAGCCTCAATGCTGAGACATTTGGCAGCTTTTTGTCAGATGCCAAACACTGTGACTTTTCCCTTATGGATTGCTGAATATTTTTTAATATTCTAGGTGTTCATTCTTGGTTGCAATTAAGCTACTTAGAAAAGGTTGGTGCTTTTTTATTTTGATTTTAAGCTTTCTCCGGGAGAGGCAGGCCAACACCTTACAATTCTCCCCACTACAGAGGAAAGTCCTCTGAGGGGTGCCTGTGTACTTCTGATGTTTGTGCCTTTGCTCGGAAGAACAGAGCAGCCAGCTGGGGGCGTGCTCTTCCCTACCCTGCGTGGGCTCCAGCCCCTGTGCCAGCGAATCCTTGCACTTGCTTTCAGCATTCCCATACAGCTGTCATGGCCAGAACTGTTGTCAATTCCAGAGGGTAGGGGGGGTCCCCTGGAGCCCAACAGATACCGTTCTTCCCCAGCGTCTTCGGTCTGTAGTTGGGTGGACCTGGGGTTATGGGGCCAGTGGGAGGCCGACTGTACACAGCCAGAGAGCAGGGACTCAAGGCACTCACTGTCTCTGGGCACAGCTGTCTCCTCCGTGCGACTCCGCTCTGCAAGCTCTGGGACCATGGCTGTCCCCTCTGCACACAGCAACCCCTGCCTGTGTTGCCACCTGGGAAGTCCAGGTGGTGCCCTGGAGCAGTCCCAGGCTGCTCCTCCTTTGTTCCCATCCCTTTTCATGTGTTGGGTCCGGGGTTCTCCTTATTTCATCCCAGAAAGTGGGTGCAGACCCTCGGAGTCCATCCTGCCTGGAGCAGCAGTGATTTTTGAAATCTCTATGCTGCTCAACACTGGGGCATCATGTGCTTCTCCACAGAGCCCATTCCCTCTTCAGCATTTTGCTGGCAAAAAGTCTCCATTTATAAAGAAGATTTAAACAGAGCAAAGATCAAAGGCCACAGCGCAAAGACTTTTGCAACCTGAGAAAGTTTAGCCGCATGAAGGGCTCTTACAGATCCCTCAGTAAGACATGAATCCTCATAAAAACATAAATATCAAGAAAGCCGATAAAGCTCTTCCAACTATGCCCTCCTCACAAGCACAGAATTCTAAACCATGCAGAGTCAGGCAGAGGGCCGAGTGCCCTCCAGCACAGTGAAGTGTGGGGAGCAGGCATTCACACCCTGAGCTGGGGCACGGTGCCAGCTCACTCTGCCCAGTGCGCCCTGGGTTGGTGGAGGACAGGACACTCGAAAGGAAATCAAGAATGGGAGCAAACCTTCTGGTCCAAACACTGTCTTCCATTGGAAACTCCAGTGTGGGACAAACGGGAGCTGGGTAACCCGCCTGGCCCAGCCCGGTGGGAGGGGGGTGCTCATCAGAACAGCCTGAGTAAACACTGGGATTGTTAACCGTGAGACTGAAAAGAGCTGACCAAACAACAGCTCCTGCTAGTGTCTCTTTGCTTTTAAATGCTGATGTGTGGAAAAATGAAGAAACGCGCACTGAACATGTCTAAGTGATGAGTTTACGGGCGTGCTCTCATTCCTCTGCAACCAGCTCTCTTACCATAGCCATGCGTTGTCAGAACTGCTGTGCGTTGTTCAATGGGTTCCTTAGTTATCTGCCTGGGCCTGCCATGGCCGAAGGCTGACAGCCTCCCTCCCTGCAGGAACAGGTGCCCTCACCCCACCCCCCACACCCCGGGGCACCTATGCCTGCAGCACCAGTGCAACTGTGGGCACCGCAGGGCGGAATACAAGTGTCCCAGCAGATTTCATGTTCAGTACGCAGTGGCAGGCAGGCATGACCCAGAGTTCTGTGCGGCCTCTGCTGCGGTCATCTGCAGTGCGGCTAAGCCAGGTCCCTCCTTTTTCAGTCCCGGGGATTGAGCTGTATCTCTGGTTCTCTCTAAATTGCCCAGGCTGTATGAACTTGCAGTCCTCCTGCCTCAGCCTCCCAGGGTGCCACTACTACAGGTGGGCACCACCACTCCCAACCACGTCCCCCACACTTTAAAACCGTTCTTTTAAGGCCACGTCTTCATTTTTCTTTTGACTTTTTCTTTGGTCAACCAAAACAGTTCACATTTGACAGGACTTAGGATTCTGATGTTTCGGAGCAGAGAAAGAGCATGCTCTGGGCGCCGACACTCCTTCACCCGAGGTGGCTGTCTTTGCGGTTCCTGGGTGGGCGGTAGATGGCGCGGCCCACTTCTTTCTCTCTCCATGCAAAGCTGGGGCGGCTGTGCTCCTTGGAGGGCTGATAAAGCCTGATGCGGGTCCTGAAATCTACTGTTCTTCCCCAAACCCATTTTAAGAAACCATCTCCTCTCCTCCTCCTCCTCTACCAGATTCCTTAACAAAAGCTGCCAGGTGATGCCACCTGGTTTCCCTCTTGGGATTAGATGTTGAACACATTGACCACTCCTGGTCTGCAGCCCTGCACACCCAGGGGGTGTGATGTAGGACAAAAGTGGCCAAGGGAGGGCCTCTGGAGCCGGTCTGATCCGGTTCCCTAAGAGCCTCCATTAAGAGTGTGTGGATCCAGCATCCTGAGAGGCTGAGGCAGGAGAATTACAACTTCAAACCCAGCCCAGACAACTGAACAACCTAGGCAAGAAACTTGTCTCAGAATAAGAAGTGAAGGGCCGGGGATGCAGCTCCATGACAAGGCCCTGGGTTCAGGACCCCCACCACACAATAAAGAAGTTTGGGGGGTTGGCAGGATCAGAGTGGAGACTGAGCTCAGCTTGGTTTTGCAAGGAGCACCTGCTGCCAGCTATGCCCAGGGAGGTACCAAGAGATCACCCCTCTTTCCTGGTTTTCCCAGCCTGTGCCCCAGAAACACAGCAGCAGGGCGGCTGCTTCCCCCTGCTACCCCAGGCTCTCAGGAAGCCCCACACCTCCACCTGGGGGCTTTGTGCCCCACATCCCGGCACACGCTGTCCCCAAGCCCTCCCTTTGCTGTCATGGCTCCAGGACCCCAGGGCATCAGGGGCCAAGGGGCCTGCCCATCTTACAGCTGTGGCCCCCACTTTGTCTCCGCAGAGACTGCAGGTGTCCCCCTGTCCGAGGTGTCCGGGCCCTTCTCCACCGACGGCATCGCCAGCAACTGCGTCCCCTCCCCCTCGCTGAATGAGCCAGTGCTGTGGGTCGTGTCCTACGCGCTCATGAGCTCCTGCGGACTCATCCTGCTGGTCCTCATTGTCCTGCTGCTGCTCCCCTGCCGGTGCCGCCACGCGCCCCGTGACCCTGAGGTCATCAACGATGAGTCCTCCCTGGTCAGGCATCGCTGGAAGTGAAGCCCTGTGACATCAGGACCCCGCTCTTCTGACTCTGGGCACCAGGTGGCAGGGCTCCGGCGGGTTCTCCCTCCATGTATGCCTGGGACCCGAAGCTCAGTTCTGCTCCCAGAAACCTCCATGGCCCCAGTGTCTTGATTAGTCTTGATTTTAAGCTTCCACTTTTTCTTTCCTACTTCCAAGAAAAAGAAATGATGATGATGAAAATAAAAGAAACACGCCTTATTATAAACCAAACGGAGTGAATTGGGCTTCAGCTTGCAGCACGGGTGATGCAGACCCAGCTGTGCCACCCAGAGCAAGTGCGAGAGCCCGGGGCTGGTTATCACTCCGGGCCGGAGCCCAGGGCACTGGGCTTCTAAGCCACTTCCCGAAGTCCGGAGTGCTGCTGAGAGAAAGCTTGGGTATTCACTGCCCTTCAGGGTAACCTGTGACACCAGGCCAGGCCCCGGCAGCTCAGAAGGACGCAGAGAAATGAGCCTGGAGGCCTCGGGGCTAGAGCCACCTTGCTGGCCCCCAGCCTCCGCATGGGTCCCTGGACCCCTACTGGGGAGGCTCCCGAGTGAAGACCTCAGTCCAAAAGCACCAGCCTCTTCCACCAGGGGAAGGCTCAGCCCTCTGCAAAGGTGCAGGGACAGCCGATCGCCAGCACCGACACTGCCGAGCCATGGTCAGTGCCACTTTGTGGCTTTGCCGACGGCCCTGGGCACGCTGGGGTGCGGGCAGCCTGATCCCACAACACTCCTCCTCCTGGCCCAACCTGGCAGGTGTGGCCACACGCACTCTTGCCCTAGATTAAGTAGAGCTTCAGTGAGGGTCACAAAGTCTGTGTCACTAGTGTTGGTTCTGTCTCCAAATCTTCCCTGCAAGTGGCTTGGTTCTTACCCTCCGGGGGTCAGAGGGGCTACCAGTTGCCCTGGCCTCTGACTGTCTGCCCTGGCCACTGCCAGTCAGGTAGACAGCTCCAAGGTGTGGCCTCATTTCCACATGTCCCCTCGCCCCCACCCAGGCTGGAGGGTGGCATCTGATCATTCACCGAGCCCAGGACTTGTTCCCTTTGTGTACTCAGCTTTGGAGACAGGGTTTAGTGATGTCCTTGTGTGGAGGACAGAGCACGGTGTTATCAGTGGTCTTTGCCAAAGGAAGGTGGAGCCTTTCACCCCATATGTGGGCCCCCAAGGTGGTGCCCCTTCGCTGTGAGAAATCTGAGCCCCTGAGCAGCAGGAGGGAACAAAGCAGTGAGGCCTGGCTGGTACTGTGTGGCAGGCTGGGGCGAGGTCCTCCTGGGAATCCTGACGGCACCTGACCCGTGTTGTGTATTCCATATCAGATTTCTCTGCTTTATAGCTCAGATGCCACTGCATGTGACATTTGAATGAGACACTTAAATTACAAAAATGTCCCAAAGCGGCAAGAATGAGCTAAGCAGTTGAAGTGGGGTCATTTTCCAGGTGTGCCTTGCCACCAGAAATTAGAGGTGGAGTCAGAAGTGTGGTGGGGACGTGCAGCCTGCAGAGCTGCACCAGCCGGGCTTCCTCTGCTTAGCAGGGCGGTTTGCTTTGCTTGGCTTTGCTCCACTCCAGGGCAGTTTGCTTTGAATGGAAAACAGAATGGTGACCCTGAGGGAGTTGTTTCTCCTTCAGGGTCACCTGGAAAATGCTGGAAGAAGGTGGTTTCTGGAAACATCGTTGGCTCTGGCGGGAAATGTGTGGCTTGAAGTGGACAGTCTTCGTTTAGAGAGGACGACTCGTTTTCTTCCTGATCATTTATTTAGAGGTCAGAAATGGAATCCTGCCTTCAGGAGCTGAAGCTGTTTGTAAAAACATCAGAAATGAGCCCACTGGGTTTGAAAGAAGCCAGCTCGAAGCATAGAGGAAAAAACAGTTGCCCTATGTGAGCTGGGGACTGAGGTTCTGGGCTGTCTCGGCCATGAGCATTCGGAAGGACTTTGCCCGACCCATCCTGAAACCCAGAGGTTCCGAATGGAGGTGAAGTCATCCTGGTCCATAAACCGATCAGAATCATGCATGGAATTCACAGCAAGATGGCATGAATCAGTCCGCAGAGCTCGGGACTAGGTTTTGACAGGCAGCTGTGCTTGGGGCTACTGTTCTCTTGTAGGAGAGAGGACGAGGGATTATGTTGTTCCTTAATTAAAATTGGGGATTTATTCAGTTCCTCTCACCAGGTCTCCACTCGGAGGAGCGGCACCCGAGGCTTGGTCCTGAGACCTGACTTCTTGCCTCCCCACGTCCCTGGGAACAAATGTCTGCCCAGGAGTCACCGGGAACACTTGAGTTCCCCAGCCTCTATCCTTCTTACTGGATTCCCACGTGGCTTCTCTTGCACAGACTTATTAGAATCAACTAGAGACTCCTTCAGTATAATGCCGCCACTAGAATATTTTTAAGGAAAAAACAAACACCATAAAATTTAAATTGTGCAGTTTGCCAAGAAAAGTCCTACGGTTCCAGTGCCAGGAAAGCTCCTCACAGCAGCAGTGATTTTGTACATCTCTTTTGGGCTTGAAGGATTTTTAGATTTCAATGTAAAGCAGTTTCAAATTAAACACCAATGCAGAAAAGTACGTTTTTACAGTTGAGCGGAAGAAAATAGAAGGGCGGTAAAAAGTATGCTAGCAAAATAAGCAGGATTGACTCCTGGGAAGCACTTTGATTCCAGACATCCGCAGATTTTTACCTTTTTTCTTGTGTGTGGCTTTTTTTCCCCTTAAGTTTGCTGGAGGATCTAGTGACGATCTGATTGATTTCACAGGGCTACAAGCCGCAAACTTCATGCCCGAGGAGCCCAGGGACAGCATGGGGTGAAGCCCAAGGCATCCCAGGGCCAGGTCCTTCCAGAGAGTGAAGGATTGTGGGAACTCGGTAAATCCCGAAGTCCCAGAGTGGGCAGAAAGGAGCCGGGAGAGAGCTTGCTTTCTTTAATCTGCAGTGGTCACTGCAGTCCGGACACCCCAGACACCCCCGGGACACTGATAAGCAACTCTCTCCATGCCGAGCGCTTGGCACTTCCTGTTCTTTAGGGATTCTCCCAAGGGACCACTGATGACAGAGGATGTGTGAGGCATCTCAAAGCCGACCTTGAAGCATATTTGTGGCTGTGGTCATCAGTCCAGAGGTGGCACCTGAACTCCCAGAGCAGGACATGGGCCTCTGGCGTTGGCTTCAGGCTGCAGCCTGGAAAGTGTATAGGATGGAGGACAGAGAGGTGTCACACAGGTCCCTTTGGGGTCTAAGCATCCAGGATGGGGACTCCCTGCTGTCAGCCTTAACACTCTCCTCTCGGAGTGTTCTGATGGGGTCTGGGAGGCCTCTGCGTGCAGCCACACTGCTGCTCAGGGTCAGTGCAGAGCCCAGGAGTCTGCACTGTGTGAGTTCCTGGATGGGGCCAGGGCCCTGGGTCAGTGAGTGTTAGTGAGGGTCACTGGGGCCGCTGAAGACTTCTGCCACAGTGCGGGAGGGGGACACAGAGCAGAGCTGGCCCACAGTGATGCTGTATGTTTCCCAGGGTGGGTCATCCAGTGACCTGGGTTCCTCACCCTGTGCTGGGAAGTCACCATGCCAGCAGCAAATGCAGCGGCCTCCCCCATCCAGCAGCTGCCCTGGGTTCTCTTGTGATCAAATGTGACACTGGGACACCTGGGCCTTCCAGGACATGCCACTCTGTGGTTTGCACAGTGCCTTTGCTTGAGAAAAAGACATAGGAGGACCATGAGACTTCCTGATCAGTTCTGATCTGGCCGTGGTAATAGATACGGGTCTCACCGAGAAACCACGGCAGCACCAGCGAGGGACGGCCCTGTGCCGAAGGAATAGGATTTGAGTGACATCCGCCGGGAAGAGGAGGCTGCCACCCCCATGGCTGGCAGGGGACCGTGCGCAGTATGGTCAGGAAGTACGATAGATGTGTGGAAGTTGTCTTGCAGCCCACGAGTCCCATCCCGTGGGGCCTGCCACTTCCCACAGCAGTTCTGGAGCCCTCTTTCCTGAGGGTCTTCAGCTGAGCTGCCACAGCTGCCCCAACATCCTGAATGGATCCGAAACGTTTCCCTTTCAAGGTCATTTGCACTTTGGAGAACCAGGAAGTCATGGTGGCAGATATCATGAATAAGGCAGGGGAGGACACAGCGCCATGTTTTCAGATCTGTCTGTCAGATGGCTCAGGGCAGCAGTGGCCTCACCTTAGCTCTGACCCCACCTCATAAACACACTCAGGAAGGAGACCCCCGGAGCTGCTGTACGAGGCGCCCATGGCAGGGGTGAGCTTGTTGGAATGGAGGGGGAAATGAGCAAAGCAAAGCAAGGATCTACTCATCTGTATCAAAATCACAAAATAAAATTTCTCAAAAGTGCACTTTCATGGTCTTTGTTGAGAAGGGTGTAAGACCAGGATTTGGAGTTTTCTCTTTCTGTTTTCTGGATTACAAGTGTAATGTCTTATAGCAGCGACTCCATACGAGGAGCAGCGGACAGGTTTGCTGACTCGCTGTTATATAAATGTTGAATTTCCTGTTTCAATACTATTAACTCACACTGTTCAGTATTCCAGGCATTAAGTGGGGCTACTTAGCTTTCCTTCAGGTGGCAGCGAGGTCCTGCCTCAAGCCAGACAACAAATTCTTCAAAGATCCCGAAAGCACTGCTTTGCAGAATGTACTGTGTGTATGTCGGGTTCGCCTGCTTTACATGATAACCCTCAAGTGTAACTTGTATTTCTGAAAAACCTTAAATGCCTTTTATATTTCCCTTTTGGGAGTCTGCTCTATCTCCAGGACCCTGGAGTGGCTTTCACTAAAGTCATGATCAGAGCGAGAGGCCAGGTACAGAGGTGTCCTTCCACTTTAGAAGTGGCTGTGTAGCTGTGGATGTTCATCCTCACAATCCTGCCCTTCAACACTGGAGTTTTCTAAAATAATCTTATTTTTATACCTGTATGTTCCACTGATTCCAGATGTGTACCACTGAGAAGGAAATAAACCATGTTGGATTATTTGAATAAATACTACTTCTAACTTGTTGGGCTTGGGACTTTTTTTGAAGCACATTTCAAACCTCACCTTAGAAATTGCTGCCCGTGATGCATCATGGGCTGTTATTCCCACGGCATCCAGGTGGGTCCTGGGAGATCCGGGACAGAGCCATGTGGAGCAGGGCCCAAGCCCAGTGATGAGGACGTACCGTATGCTACAAAGACCTTTAGGGACTGGAAGCCGCACAGGGAAGATCACCTGCAGAAACAAAACTGAAAAGCTGGATGCAGTGGTGCACCTGTGTGACCCCAGCACTCTGGGAGGCTGAGGCAGGAGGGTCACCAACTTCACACTCAGCTAGTGAGACTTTGTCTCAAAATGAAAAATCCTTTATGTTGAAAAGGCACAGAGAGCTGGTCTGAAAGACTGGGTGGGACAGCCAGCCCCATCTTGGGGATGACAGGACAGGGCTGGGAGTGCCTGGCTGTAGTCCCTGGGACCCCAGGAGATCAGAGCTAGAAGAGTGTGCATACTGGGCTGGAAGCCAGCTCTGCCCCTCCGAGGTCTCTTCTTACCCAGAAATCGCCCATCTGTACCCCAAGCCCGGCACGTGGTGAGCCCGAGCCGTGCCTTGGTTATGTTTTATTTTGATACCAGGTCTCACAGAGTTGCCCAGGCTAAGCCTGAACCTGTAAGCCTCCTGCTTCAGCCTCCTAGAGCTGAGATTTCAGAATTGCACCGACACTCCTGGCTTATACTTTTGTTTGATGGTGCACAGATAAAAAACAAAGCAACGTAAGCCGTCAAGCCTGGCGGGGGGCAAAAGCAACAGCTGCTGGAGAAACAGAACTCAGATACTCTTTCTAGTAACCAGGAAGAGGCTTTCGTTTCTGGGGTTTCTTTTTCAAGCTCCAGTCCAGGAATCCCTTCTCCAGCTCTGAGCCCTGAGCAGCCTCCCATATGTGATTTCATGGCTTTATCGCTAGGTGGTGCTGTCAGGATGCTTTGTGGCCCAGCTTCATGCTTTTGGGGGTCTTTTGGTAGGAATTTTTTCCTGATATTTTTGGCTTTCACAGCCTTTATCGTATGTGTGTTGGGGGGGGGGGGTAAACCAGGACCCAAGAATGCCCGCTCCGTGTGCTGCTTACAGGCAGGTGTGACCCCCAAATCTGCATGTCCAACCCCTGCAGGGAAACTGAGGCAGCACTGTCGTAAGTACCCAGCTTCTCCTGTCAGTGGCACAGTGCAGATTCAAGAGGGCCTGAGATCTCAGCCCTTATCCTAGGCCTTTATGAGGTGGAAGATTGGAAGTCGAAAGGAAAACAGTGTTTACAAGTCACGCATTAAAACTTTGCTGCACCCAAGTATCACCAGGGCAAAATATCAGGGCAAGTGCTTGCACGGGATCGAGGGGTGGAAACGGACCTTCACTGGGCAATGAATCTTCGAACATTGTAAGATGCAGAATTTTATGATGGGCTTGGAATTGCTGAGGACAGAGGTGACTTGGGCGGGGTCTTTTGTGCTGGTTACTATCAGGCCCTCTGGAGGGACCTGGCTTCATATCACTCAGCACGATGCACAGGTGACTCCATGTGGACTCCCAGCGATCCCATGCTGTCCCAGGGCCACTGTGTATCTCTGCAGCAAGCTCCTGGAAGACGTGGTGGCTCCTCAGCCATCCTGAGGTCGGGTTTTGCTGTCCCCTGGCTGTGGGTCCAGTCTGGGCCCCGGCTGAGTAATGGTTGGGGTGCTGTGTCAGGGTTAGCCCTTCCGATCACATTTGAATAACAAGGAGCTGCAGGAAGAGTGGTCCTCAGGGTGTCCTCAGCTAAATCCCACTCAGTTTAATCTGACCTGACCTCCAGAGGAGCCCCTTCATCCTAAACTCTCTAACTGTGTTGTTTTCTAGGGGCACTGTTTCTACAGAGTTCTCAGAGAAAATATACTGGGAAGACTGAGGCGGGAGGATCGCTGCAAGTTCAAGGCCAGCCTGGGCTAAATAGTGAGTTCCGGTTATCCTGAAATACGGAGCAGGAATCCATCTCGAAAATTAAATAAATAAAATCAAAAGGGGGATGAGCAACAAAACCAAGAAGAAAGCGAACTCACAAAGCAAACTCACTCAGGATCTTTAACCATCCTGATGGTTTCCAAAGATAGAGGAGGACAAATTTGCAAAGCAGCCTGAGTTTCATCAGACAGCTGGAGCTCTGGTTCCAGCCTCCTCTGTAATCTGACTACAAATACAGCTGTGATGGAAGCAAAAGATTTAAAACAGCCACAGCTGATGAGAGCCCCCCATGGCCATGCAGAAGTGGTTTCCTTCAAGAGCGTCGCTGAATTCACTGCAATGCTTGCAGGTAGGTATTTCAAACATACACTAAAAAAATAAGGTAACAGCGAGAATGTCCCTCTCATTACCAGTGGCTCCCTGGAAATGCGTCTCCCAGAGCTGAGGGTGCCTCAGCCTTCTGAGCCACAGACCCTGGAGTGCCCCAGTGGGAGGTAGAGTTGCACCCCAGTACCACCAGCCCCTGCGTCCCTGCAGCAGCCACTCCCGAGGAGACACAGAAGGGCCGAGCCAGCGCCCGACCCAAGCGCCTCCTGCAGCTCTGACAGCACCTGGGAACTGGTACCCGGCTCAGCTTCCTTCCTGGGGCCAAACCTGTTGTGGGGACCCTAGGTTCCATGGCTCTGTCTGCTCCCAACCTGGACACAAAGGACCTGCTCTGGCGGTGCAGCCCCAGCACTGGAGACCCTGGGAATGATTTCCACATCAGCACCACCATCCGGGTCGAGCACCTATGCCAGAGACGACAGGCCCAGCACAGGGTCTGGCCTGGGTGCCTTCTGGGCAAGGTGGTCCTGGGGCAACTGGAGCCCACCTGGGCTGGCCCCTTCCCAGGCAGGAGCCACACAGGGGTCCCCATGGCACCCCTTGGAGCTCTGACTGAGGGGCACAGGGGCTTCTGCCATCACTGGTAGTCAGGGTGAGCCAGGTCCCCCACACTGGCTCTCTGTGGCTGAGTGGAACACACATGGGCCCTGGGTGATCACAGCGGGTCACCACAGGTGCATCCCCTCTGGGGATCCAGGGTCCCCATTTTCCCATGCTGTCTGGGTACCACCAGAACTGCCCGGAGCAGGATCTGCCCAGCGCCTGGGCCCTGCCCTCTGCTGGTGTCCTGGGAAGAGGAGGCAGGGCTGGGGCTGGGCCAGGAGGGGATCTGGGGTCAAGTGGACAGTGAGGTAGGACGGCTGTATCTGCAGGGTCACCAGGGCTGGGTCAGCAGCTCTACCACACGACGGGGCAGCCCTTCCTCGGAGCTGCAGGCCATGAGAGCCTCCATGGGTCCCAGGGCCTGAGCCCCTGCAGGTGACAAGTCACATGGGGAGGGCGTGGGGCGCCACCCCCAGCCTGAACAAGGGCTCAGCCCATGTCACCCATGTGAACAGATTTGGAACCAACCGAAGATCAAGGTCATAGAGCCCCAGTGTCGGAAGTGTGGTCTGTGGGTGGGGGACAAGAACCCTGCCACCATTCTCCCTTGAGGCTGGAACCCCCACCGCCCGCTGGGAGTGGGCAGTGCTGAGGTGGCCTCTGCATTCCGGGGTCTCTGTAGACAGCACCCCAACCCCCATGTGACTGTCCTGTGCGTGCCCCCCGAAAGCATCCTGTACTCCCAGGTCCTGAGCCTCCTCTTGGTCCCTTCTAGGCCCTGCAGTCCCCATACTCCAGGGCTCCCTCACGCAGGGCCTCTCCTGTCCAAGGACCCAAGTCCTGTCCAGTCCATCAGCCTCCCTCTTGTAGGTCTCCTGCTGGAGGCCAGGGTGACCTGTGGGCTGCAGCCAGGCTCTGGGAGGAGTAGGGGCAAGCCCGGGGCCGCCATCACCTGTCTCCCAGCCTGGGCTTGATCACATGGCCTGGGGCAGTGGAGGACGTCCCAAGGATGACACAGCTCACACATCACTGTCCCTTAGCACAGTGTTTCCTCCCTGGCTGTCCCTGCTGCCCAACCTGTCCTTGTGGGCATCTTCAGGCAAGCCTGTGTTACACAGACTCAAAACCCGGAGACATCAATCCAGGCAGCAAGATTTATTAGCAGATCAGGAGGGTGGCAAGTGGAGGGGCTGGGAAGGGTGGGGCTTAGGCTGGAAAATGGAAGGAGCCATCTAAAATTGCCTCATGGAGCCTAGTGAGCCTAGGGCACAGTTAGGCTGCCAGGGTGAGCTCTGAGCTCTTCGGACTGGAAATCTAGTTGCTGTCCCCACTCCTGCTGGTCCCCATGAGCTACTGCGTAAAAAGCAGAGAGTGCACCTTGACCTCTGCTTTCGGAGCGTCTGCTGAGCAAGTCCCTCACACCATAGAGACCCTCTGGAGAGCCTGGGGCCTCCTGCTCCGTGCCTGGGACCTGGGTTAAGCCGGGAACCTGGCGAGCTGGCGCCGGGCCTGGCCCAGTCGCTCCAGCCGCTCCTTCAGGACCTTCCTCTTCTTCCTGGCGCTGGTCTGCTCCGTCAGGAGCCAGGCGTACACCTCCTGGTCCTGCAGCAGCTGCAGCATGGCGTTCTGCAGCCGCAGGCTGAACAGGTGCAGGGTGTAGTACTGGATGATCAGGGGGATCTGCCTGCCCAGGTTGTCTCTGACTTCCTGGAAAGCAAGGACAGATCTCAGTGAGATCATGCAGGAGGGGACCCTGATCCGGCCCTGCTAGCATTACAGGATCCAGGGCTCCGAGGAGGGAGAACCTGGCCTGGGTTCAAACTAAATGTTCTTGGCGCTGGGGCCAGAAGGGGCTCTGCGTGGACACGGGAGGACCCTGCAAGGGTAACGCGCAAAGGCCTCTGTCCCTGGCTTCCCTGACCATCATCTGGGCGCTGGAAGGAGGAAGGTGAGCTTTGCTCTGCTCTGTGACAGTGAGGGGCCTCACATGCGCCTGCACCCCAGGAGAACAGCCCACACCTTCTTGTTTGGGCCAAGCCTCAGGCTGTTTGTGACAGCCCCAGGCAGGAACCCGAGTCCCCAAGTGGACAGAGTCCCATGCCTCTTCCTCTGCCCATCTGTCTCCTGCACTCGCCCTTTCAGACACACATTGACCTCAGGGCTGTGACGTGTGCTGGTGGCCATCAGGTTCGACTGCCCTTCTGTGATGCATTTCTTCCTCTGGGAGGCAAAGACAGCACAGTCACTGACCTCCCTGAATGGTGAGTCACAGAGCATATGGCAAGGGCCACCTGCTCAGGAAAAGCCAGGCAGGTGACAAGCACCCAGGGACAGTTCCAGCAGGGTCAGCAAAGGAGGCAGAACAATAGAGCCAGGCTGGCCTGTCCCCGAGGGCCACAGAGGACAGGTCATAGGATGCTGGCAAAGGGCAGCTGGCCATGCAGACACAGCTGTCTGCAGGGACTCGGCCACTGTATAGAATTCCGTCTCATGTGACCTCAGAGAAGAAGCTGGAGGATACTGCTCAGAGACCTCAGCCAGCCTGCACTGAGGGGTCCCTAAGGGCTCAGATCCCTGCGGCAAGGCCTGAGGAGGGGGCGGGACTCCGTGCTAACAGGACAAGTGGAGCAGTTTTAAGTTCAGGAAGGATAGTTCTGCAGATGCTGGGGAATGGACAGGCCTGCAGGGTAACTGAAGTGATTTCCTGTCCTTGAGGTGTGGCACGAAAGTGGTCAGGTGGTGAAACAAACATATCTCTTGTCCTTTGTGCCACGGTAAAGACAAGGAAGGAACGCGCACAGGAAGCCCAGGCCTCAGCGAGCTCATGGTCAGGGACACATGGAGGGGGCGGGAAGCAGCGCCTGGGGGGGGTGCACTTGGGCTCAGGGCTGTGGGGCTCCCTGTGGTCACTCCAAGTGTCACTCCTGCTGATTGCCAGCCCTCAGGCCCACTGAGCCAGCCTTGCTGCAGGCCAGGGCTCCAGGTAGCACCGCCCTGCAGCAATGCCACCTGGGACATCACAACCTGTGTCCCCACACCTGTGCCTTGCAGCCCAAAGCCCCACTGTAGCCGAGTGAGCTGCCCAGAGAGGCCCCTGTCCATCTGCACAGGTCCCCAAGCAGTCCAGCTGCCTCCTCCACCCACCTAGCCACGCGCAGTTATGGCCAGCAGGGGTGCGGGCAGTGCTCTGCCGGCACGCAGTGGCTTCCAGGTGGGACCAAGGTCTGCACCACCCTTGCCGTGGGAGGCTAAGTCCTCGGTCTGGCTGAGGTGAACTGCTTCCGGGGCCACACAGCTGGGTGACGCCACCTTGAACCCTGCAGCCCAGACGCAGGAGCTGCAGAAGGGAGAAGGAAGCGGCCCAAGTCTGTGACATGAGCACACACACCTTGCAGTAGGCTTTTAAGTGCTGGAGAATCTCGGACGCTGCAGACACCTCAGACGTCGCAGACTCCTTGGAAGGCAAGCGGAACGTGACATGCATCTGGGGCGCTGCTGCCTTCTGCCTGACATCCTGCAGTGCACCTTGGTACACCTGGTCCTGGCAGTAGATGACCTGCTCCATCTGGAAGTGAATGCGAATGGCCGCCTCGGCCGCTTCTTCTTGGGCCAGGTGGAGGTCTTCGATCTTGTCCTGCGGGAAGAGACAGATGACTACGGGTCCTCAGGAGGTGGACCCACTGCTGCGGGGAACTGATCACCCAAGAGCCAGGAGCAGGGGTGCCCCGACCTGAATGTCCCCACACCCTGGGCTGGGCCCTGTCCATTGTGTCTTCAGCAAGGACTCAGTTTCTCTCTTTGCACCCTTATGGGTTTGCTGTCTGAAAGGCAAGTGACGGCGTCACCCAGGGAGCACACGGAGACAGGAAGGGCTCGGCTGGACTCAGCCCCATCCCACAACATCCTGTCCCTGGCTTCCAAGGCAACCAAAGAGGACAAAGCTGTCCAGAGAGCGCCTACACCTCCACCTTGCAGATCCACAGTGCACCCCTTGGTCCTGACCATGTCCCCATTGTCCCTGCACCTCAGGACACGCCACTTGTCCACTCAAGGCTGCAGGCAGAAAGATGCTGCTCTTGGCCTCGGGCTGGAAGGCAGCAGAGCCCAGGTCCCCACTGCATTGGGAGCCCCATCCTGCCTGCTGGAGCCCCTGTGGGAACACCATGGGGAAGTGCCCCAAGTGAGCCCCCGCGTCCTGTGCTCCAGGGTCAGACAGGAGGCTCAGAAGCCTCAGTACATGAAAGGCGTGCCCTGCTGCCAGGTTGTTTCTTCTGCCCTCACATTGCATCCTGGGGTTTACCTTGGCAGTACTATGCAGATTTAAAAACTCGCTGAAGTTCTTTTCAGAAACCGCTGTGAAGGCGTTGCGAACCAGATCTGATCAGACAGGAAAAAGTAGGTGAGCATGGATGGCTGCAACATGCCTGACTTAAAAGGCCAGGAGCTCTGGCTTCTGTCCCCACCCTGTCACCCCTCCAATCCCTTGAGGACACGCCCTGATCCCTATTGCCTCTAGTAGCCATGAAGGACTGGGCTTTGCTGGAACGGCAGGTGACATCTGGGGAGGAGGGCGGCAGAGGAGCCTGAGGGGAGAGATCCATCAGATTGGAATCCAGCAGGTGACACATTTCAAGAAGAGGTGAGCAGAGGTGAGATGTGGGCAGCTTGGGGGCTCTGACCCTGCCCTGGCCACAGCGATGCCGAGGGGAGTCACACTGGGTGCAGGCATTTTGTCCCTTCCTGGCTCCTACAGCTGTCCCCTCAGCAGAGCCTTGGAGAGCTGAAGTGACCATAGGCATAAGGCAGAGTGGCCTGCAGCAGAGACACACCACAGGTGTGGGCTGGATATGTTGGGACAGCTCCACAGGCCTCCGCTCGTGGAGGTGAGCATGGTGGCCCTGGGTGGCTGGGATGATGCTGGTCATCAGATGGACAGTATCAGATAAGAAGAGGGGCATGGGGCCAGTGCTGTCACTCAATGTCCCGCAATGAGGCCTCCCTGAAACTCCTAGGCGATCAAGGTCAGACGAAGCCTGGGCACCCTCGGAGGGCCGTGCAACTCCACTCCACTGACACTCGGCCAGGACACGTCTTTGTGACACACCAGACAAGTCCCTGCCGCACACTGCTGGCCAGGGACTTACCAAATCCGAGCAGTGGGCAACGGGACCCTGATTCACAAAAGGGTCACTCAGGACTTGGGATAGAGCTCAGAAGCTCGGAACTCCGAGACAGTCCTGGGGACTGAGCCAGGTATGTGCCAACCCCAGATGCTGGCAGAGCCATGGCCTGTGGGGCCCCCACTGGCATCAGGAGCGGAGAATAGGTTTCCGAGTGGCACATGCCCAGGGGAGCCTCTGAAGTTCCGCCGCCTTTGCTCCCGCCCACAGAGCCACACTCACCCGTGACCTGGTGTAGCAGGGCCACGGCCGTGTCCTCCAGGCCCTGGAGGAGCTTTTTCACGATGGTCTCAAATGTCCGGTAGTTCACAAACCCAGGCAGCTCTCTGCCACGATGGTGGCTTTCAAATTTCTGGACATCTCTTTGTAAACCCCCATAACCTGCAGCAGGAAAGGGGTGACCGGCATGATTTTACAGCAGCAAATTTAGAATAACCCCATAAGTCCCAGATAACAATCTCTCCCTCAAAAATAAATCTTGATTTGTTTCAAGGGACAACTTCCCTCGGACTGCAGTGAGGAAGGCAGTGTCAAGACACTCAGCTCCCCAAGCCCGGCCAGCACCTCGGATCCAGGAGCAGCTGAGGGCAGCCTCTCCAAAACCCACTGGATTTTACCAAACACAAAGGACTCAGGTGGCAAATGCTCCTCGCCCAGAACCAGGGGCCTCTAGGATGCAGGATGACCTGGAGCACCAGCAGGGGCCACCTGCAGGTCGCCTGCCCTAAACTGAGGCAGGGGCAGGCACACAGGGCACGAGCGCCCTGGCATGAGACACAGGCTGAGGGAGACCCGGTCTCCTCTTCTCTACTAGAAATTCACATCGAGGTTCACTCTCAGACAGTAAAGCCCAGCCTGCCAAAGGCAGTGCTCACAGGACACTTGGCGTGTTCTCAGAGCCAAGCAAGCCCTCTGCCCCGGAGGTGGCCAGCGCCACCCCCACAGGCCCCTCCCTGCCTCTGCTGCCTTGTCCCGCCCTGCAGCCCCTCCTTTGCTCCCTGTCCTTGTGAGTCGCGGGTCTGCACACTTGACAGGCAGGAACCTCAGGGTATGCGCTCCTCTGCCTCGGGGATTCCTCTCATTCCTATTCAGGGCTTCAAGGTTTAGCCACCTTCCCCAGGTGTCAGTACTTCTGGGGCTCAATACAGAACACCATGCTGAATGGTGTTACATACTCCGGTGTGTCCCCCACAACTCCTATGCTGGGGTCCTAACCCCAGCACGTCAGAATGTGCAGTAGACAGGGGTTCTCAACAGGAGGCAAGTTGAAAGGAAGCCTCAGCATTGCTCCAGCTCAGAGAGCAGGGAGCTCACGGTGCCAGCCACCACCCTGAGCAGTGAGGACAGGTTCTCCGCAGCCACGGTGGATGGTGACACCCAGTCAGTGTCTCCTAGGGGTCAGCCAGTCTGGGACAGCGGGCTCCTGAATACGTGGAAGGATCACGGGGTGCTGCACTGTGGGGGTGAATCTACTAATTTCATCAGTGAAAAGTGCTGAGTACATCCAGCTGCCGGGCAAGCCACTGGGTACACCTGGAGAGGTCGCTGGCCACTCTGCCTCTCTCTCGCTCTTGCTCTGTCTTGCCCTGTGCTTTGCTTCCTAACCACCATGAAGCAGCTTCGCCCTGCCACGCCCTCCTGCTGCGACATTTCTGCATTGGAGCCCACTAACCATGACCTGAACCCTCTGAAACTGTGAGCCTGGTAGAAACACCCACACACACACTCTGAATTGTGGGTATCAGCGACCGCAAAGCTGACCAACACACTACGTGTCCCTTGAAATCAGTTACGGGTGCCGTTGGCCTCATTTAGTGGCAAGGAGCACAGCGAGCTGGCTTCCTTGTTGACAGCTCCTACTCCAGCCATGCTCCTCGCCATTCACGGCACTCTCCTCTGTGTCCTCACAGACCACGCCGCATGCTGGCCTGAGCGGTGACTCCCCCAAGGTTAGACGCTGACATTCGCCTAGGTGTGGCACCACTCGGAGTCACGAGGGCTGCACTTCCACAGAGACCACAGATGGCAGAAGAGCCAGGGAGAGCTGCCCACCACTCCTTGTGAGCACACAGCCAGATGTCACCACCCTGGCTCAGAGGCAGAGCCCCAGACTCACAGGACACCCAGCAGCGGCTCTGACACCCACAATGTGAGCAGCGAGCTTCTGTCCTGTCCTGTGTGACTCCCCTCACTGAGGTTCACAGTGACAGCGTGGAAAGGCACTGAGGCACTCACCTTTCTTAAAGTGGTCCTTGATCATGGAATCCCACTGTTCGAACTTCTGTCGGAGGCAGGCAGTCAGCCGGGGGTCTTCCACACCCACACTTTCCTCCCCCTCAACCAGAGCGCTGATGTCCTGATTAAATGCTTTGATTTTCTACCAAGAAGAGAATGTCCATCAGTAAAGATGTTCACAGGCAGGGTGGCGGTGGCCTGGAGGTCTCGTGGGCCTTACAGGGGCTAAGCCATTTCCCCTCCTGGCCCCTCTGGAACCAGGAGAAGGACGCCATGGGACTGGGACACAGCCAGACCATAGGGACCATGGTGAGGGCCTTTCTGAGTCCCTGCCATGAGCAGGACCCCCTGCCTTCTGTCTCCCTAGTCCCCTCCTCAGGACCCAGTGGCAGGGCGTGGGGGAGCCTCAGGCTGGCGAGGACAGCGGGTGTTGGGCACAGGTTGCCGGGGCAGATGCAGGGGTCTCCAGCATCAGCCATGGCAGCCCTCACCTCTATCAGGAAGAAGGTTTGCTCGTGTTCATTCTCTGGGATGTCCGAGGCGTACTTCCGCAGCTCCTCCATTGTTTTCTGGTGCTGCTCCCTTATTCTATTTTCCAGCATCGGCAGAGATTTCTGTGGGGAAGAAAGAGAGAAGGTGGAACCTGTAAGTATGGACTCAGAAGGGTGGCCTGGGCACGCTGTGCAGAGGGGCTGCCTGGTCCGAGGGACACTGCAGTGTCCCCTTATGATCGCCCTGGGCGGAGAGCACAGCAGGGCCTTATCACCCCAGTGCCCACGATTCCAGTGCCAGCTCCTGGCCATGAGCATGCAGAAGTGCCCACTGCACAGTGCCCTGACTGCTGAGGATCCCTGCGGGCAGCTCTCAGGTGTCTCTCTGCAGGGGCAGTGGCCTGATGCTCTTTGTCAGGAAAAGTGGCCTTTGGGACCAGCGCAGATTCTATGACTTGCATGCTGTTTTCAACTGGGCACAGCTAGCAGGGATTGTGTTTCCATCCCTGTGGCTGGCTGCGTGTAGGGCCCACACTGTCCCTTCCCATGTGACAGGTGCCAGGGTAGTGCAAGTCACTAGAAAGCTGAAGCCAGGGCACAAGCATCACCCCAGACTCAAGAAGACAGCAGTGTGGATACCAGATTGGGCCTCAGGAAGAAAACCAGAGCTCGGGGTTAGGAACCAGTGCAGGGGTAACAGAGCAGCCTGCCTGGCTGGCTCAGGGCTGGGGTCCGACAGGGGTGGAAGCTCCTCCTGCTGTGGTTTCCCAGCGAGGGCCACCCTCAACATCATGGTGCACAAGATGTGGTCTTGCTCTCTGGTGGGCCCTAGCTTGGGGAGGGGGACCTTACCCTTGGCACCAGGCGGAGAGGAGAGAAGGTCCCATGAACCTTGGTGCCACGAGCTGCCTGCCCACAGTCTGCTATGTGGATTCCAACTCTGCCCAGACACCCAGATCCCAGGGTCACAGCCCAGGCCTCCCCACCTCATCTCTCAGGGTCACCAAGCACAGGAGAGGCTCAGCATGCATCCAGGTCCCCTGCAGGACGACACAGGGCCTGCCCCAACTTACACAAATGTGCGCGATGAGCTCGGTGGACAGCCTCTCTGCCAGGCGAGGGATGGTGGCCTTTCCATCCTCCAGCAGCCCCCTGAGTGAGAGCAGAGAGAGAGAGAGAGAGAGAGAGAGAGAGAGAGAATCCTGTGCTCCCGAGGGAATGGCTGGCCCAAGACTGACCCTCAGCACACACTGAGCAGGCGAGCGCATGGTGGCTGCAGGGAGCCAGCTCAGATCCTTCCAGGAGCCCATCCAACCCAGCACGGAGAGTGTTTCCAAAAACCCCAGGCACGCACACCTGTACACGGCTGATTTGTGTGCTAGGCAGGTGTTCCTGCCCTCCACGTAGACAGGAGCGGGCAGCGTGTGAATGCAGCCTTGCCTGAGGAGGATGGAGCAGACCGACACCCTGGCTGGAATTTAAACCAGGACACAGGAAGAGCAGAGGCTGCACCATCTTCTCACGCTGCCCAGCTCTGTCCTGCTGTTGACAGGAGCTTTCAGGGTGACAGCACAGGAGGCTGAACACAGCACACCTGTGCTAAGGTTTGGCCTCCACACTCATCATTTAAAACACAAAACCAAAATAAAATATATGAGGTTAAATGGACCTTTTTAACCATTTTAGTGTCAGCTCAGGGGTATCAGGTGCCTTCATAGTCACCACTGTCCTCCAGTGCCTTCTCACCTGACAGAGAGGACACTGCACACCACACCCACCTTATGCTGCCTCCTCAAGCCTGACCCCAGCTCCAGCCCCAGCCCCGGCTCCAGCCCCAGCCCCGGCCCCAGCTGTCCCCATGAGGCAGCTGCCCGAGGCTGGTACTCAGTGGGTCACCAGTGTAAGTCCTGCTATGATGAGATACATTGCTCAGCGTCACATCCTCAAGGCCCCACCACACTGCAACTCAAAGGGGGACCTCTTCCTTCCTGAGGCTGGAAAACTCCAGCTTGTGTGCACCCCAGTGGGTTCTTCCATGCACAGCCCCTGGGTTCCTCCTTCTCTGTGTGCACTCCGGTTCCAGCACTGCACTGTTTAAAGGACTGTGCTGCAGCCCCGCCTCATTTTCACCCGTGTTTTGTCTTGATTTTGCAATATTTTGTAAAGTCCCCTTTTATTTTTCCAGGCTAGCTTCATGACATTGCCAGGAAGCAAACACTGTCTATCTGTCTGTCTTTCTGTCTCTTTCCTGCCCTCTTAACACACAGTTGCTTACACACTCACACTCCCACACACCCCCGATATCCACCCTCCCAGGTAAGGTTCCCTGGCAGACACAGGCATCCCCGGTGGCACTGGCCCAGGATGCAAAGCACAGCGCACCTGAACTGTTCGTGGTCCTCAAAGAAGGAGCGCTCCTTCTGTAGGGCCTCAGCCAGGCTCAGACACTCCTGGATGTCCTGCTGCCCACGGCACCTGACCACCATGTAGCCCTTCTTCAGGGGACACGACAGGTTGTGCACCACATCCAACACCTTGTCCTCCGCACCTTTGTCCACCAGGTCAGGTTTCGTCAGGATTCCTGCGCCAGAGACTCGCACTCAGGAAATGCATGCAGTCCCTGGATAGAGGGCAACACAGCCCCTGCTCCAGCTCCAGGGGCATTGGGCTAGGTACCACAGAACTGGAGAGCCTCACGCAAGTGGAGTCCCAACCAGAGAGCCCCGCTAGGCAGACAGGAGACAAGGGGGCCTGCCTGTACCTCGGGCTCTTCCGACCTCCCTTCCAGTCCAGTCCTGGGTGGGGTAGACCCTCCTCTCCATCCCTGCACCCCTGCAGTATCTGCCCAGCTCCCCCTACCTCAACTCCCAGTGAGCCCAATGCCCCTCATGCCCTCCACTGCCCTGTGCCACCCACACAGAGCAGTTGAGGGAACCAGGCAAACAGTAGTCAACGAGGGACACAGAGGCCTCACCCTCTCCTGGTGCTGCAGGCAGCTTGGCAATTCCTCCAGTGGGGTGCAGGTCCCCTCCCTCTGCGTGTGCAGAGCCCCTGGGTTCAGGGGCACTTCCCACAATCTCCCATGGACACACATCAGCCCCTGCTCCTCACCTATGGTCCTGTCCCCTTTGGGGTCCACTTCCTGCGCCATGCGCAGGGCCTCCGTGGTGGCGATATCCACGTTACTGGGGATCACCACCAAGTTGATGGTCTCCTCCTTCTCAATGTAATTCATAATGAGCTGCTTGACCTGTGAAAAATGGCACCACAGGCCTGAGATAGGAGGGAGATGTGAGGTCTCCCCGACCTTGAATTTGCTTGTTCTAGTCTTGGACTCCAGGAGTCTCCACACTGGGAAGTAAGGTCAGAGAAGTTGCCCCACCAAGGCTATCCTGGTGGCACCTGCAAGCCCGAGGACAGCAAAGCAGCAGCTGTGACAGCAGCTAAGGGGTCAGGGATGATTGTGAAGTTTGAGCTGTTTACCATATTTCCCTGAAATCTCAGATCTGGTGGTCATGGTGGACACACGATGCCCAGAGTGCCCCTGGCTCCTCCCCCAACCCTGTGTCCACAGGCTGCGATCTGCCCATCCCCGAGTCCCCTCCACGCCCGCATCTTGCACTCCTCCTGCAGAGGGGCATTCTCGCCACACGCCCTGGTGGAGGGGCCCAGGACAGAATTGCAGCCAAAGCGGAGTCATGGGACAAAACACAGAAACCGGAGATCTATTCCCTGTTCTGCCTCACTTTCACCAGGAAGTGCAGAGGCGCTGCCGAGCCCAGCCTCTCCGAGGCTACCACACCCCTGAGCGTCCCTCTCCACACAGCCCTACTCATGGCTGCCCTTAGGTGCTGCCACCTGCGCCCCAAGCCAGCTCTGAAGGGCATCTGAGGCCTCACCTGGTTACCGATATCCCAGGGCTGGGCGCCGATAGCCACCCTGGTGATCCCGGGGAGGTCGATCAGCGTGAGGTCCGGGGCATCAGGGGAGCTGATGAGCAGGCTGATGAGCTCGTCCTTGATTCCCTCGTCCGGCCCAGCGATCTCCTCCTGAGCTGGAAGAGAGGAAAGGGCAAAGCCAGAGGGGTGTCAGCAGGGCTGTGCTGCCGCCTCCCGGGCTCCGACAGCAGCTCTTTCCGGGCCGAGTCCGTCTTCCATAATCACAGCAAACCTGAGCCACTCCTCAGAACACCGCTTGGCATTTTCCAAGCCGTGGCCAGTACTGTGGTGACGCCGTCCACAGGGACCCCCCCCGGAGCAGAGCCCAGTGGCGCCCAGACTCCCCATGTGCCTCCCTCCATACTGAGGGGACAGTCCCAGGGAGGAGATGGAGAAAGTGGACATGCAGGGGATCCCCCAGACTGCAGCTGCAGCTGACCCAGGGTGGGGAAGCCCTGGCTGTGGGCATCCTGGTAAGAGGTTCTGGGCTCCAGTGCCCTGGAATGGGAACTGCCTGGTCCAACTGCCCACTGATGCCCTTTGTCCACATTCATGTCCCCATCGGCTGGAACCTTGGCCCAGATCCAGAGCATGGATGGAAAGTGACAGTGATGGTGGGGGTGGGGAGCTGTGGACTGTCTTCAGACTCCCGTGACTGGGAGCTGCTGTCACGACATTGAGCTTAGGCCAGACACATGCCAAGATACCACCAGCACTATCTAGAAGGTGGCAGAAGGTAGTGACAGGGCTTCATCACTGTCCTGCCAGCAGAACGTGGACTTGCTTGCTCCACTATGAGTGGCAGGGACAGAAGCCACACTCAGGGCAGACAGACAGACAGAAACAGGAGACGTGGTTCCTGACCCAGCCCCCAGCCCAGCAGTGCTCTGAGCCTGGCCAATGCTTGTTGACCGAGGAAACACCCCTGTCATTTGACTGACACCATTGCGTCTGCCATGAACTGCCCACCTCTACGGTCCCCATCACTCCTGGGCACACAGGCTGCCTCCCGCCTGCTCTGCTCTGTCCCCTCTCAGGGGAGCCCATCCCCCCAGCTGGGTGTGGACAGGGCCATCAGAACGTCATACCGAGTGACTGACCAATGGAGCCCACAGGCACTGCGGGGGGCTTGGTCTCCTGCGTGGAGCCCCTGCCTTCATGGGACAAACTGCTGGGGGCCTATGGGGAGACCCCAAGGGCAGAGGATAGGCCCGGAAAGGACAGAGTGAGGCCCGTCACGGCTGGAGCAAGCATCCTGCTAACGGCGGACGCGCCAGGCACTGACCTTGGCGGATCGCGTCTTCCACCTTGGAAGCATCGGGGATGGCCTCCTCTTTGCCCCTGTAGCTGATGCTGCCTCTCCATTCCTCTTCCGGCCTCAGCTTCTTCAGCTTCAGCTCCAGAGGACACCTGGTGACAAGGCCTGGGGCCACATGCACGTCAGTCCACATGGGGCCTGTGACCAGCACTGCCCACACTCACGCAGTTCTGGAGCAAGGGGCTGGACACAAAAACCACCCTGGCTCCCCTCAGATGCCCTGAGACCAGACGGGTAGTGAGGGGACCGCAGGCCTCTACATTTGAAATTAGAATCCAAGTGACTCCTCCTCATGGATGGAAACCACCACTCTGGTCAGACTTCCTGTGTCCTCCCACTGTCCTGCAGCCAGGTCAGGGGGCAAAGGCAGTGACAATGCCTGTAGCACCTGCACTTGTCCTCCGGGGTCCCCGACACATGCCCCACTCACCACTCTCCCCAGCACGGTCCCAGGAGCCGCTCCCTGAGCTCGCTACTGCCCCACTGGTCTCTCACTTCCCGGCACCCTGAGCTCTGCCCTCTCAGCTGGGCTCCACCTCTTCCTTTGAGCCTTCACTCACCCACCGCCCCGGTTTTGCACCTAACCAGCACCACTGACCTGAGTGCCAATCTACCTGCCCAGGGAGGGCTCAGGACGGTCACCCACAGGTACACGGCACTGCTGGGGCCCGGTCCTTTTATTCAGACCTGCCACACGGCAGGTTCCATGGAGCCCATAGAAACTGGTGCAGTGACTGCACGGTCACCCCCAAATGCTTCTGCAGAAGCCCTCACCCCACCTGTATGGGAGCCAAGGCCTCGAGGGAGGCCGCTCAAGCAGGGCTAAGAAGGGTGGACTCCCTACCAGTATGCCTGGTGCCCTTCTGAGAAGTAGCAGAGACACCAGGACCCTGCCCAGGGGAAAGGCCAGGTACAGCAGGTGAGGGGCTGGCTGGCTGCAACCATGCAGCCTTGCTGGTGCACTGGCTGTGCCAGAGCTGTGTGAGGACCTCTTCGGTCCTTTCAGAGCCCTCCCCCAGTCTGGGCAGCTCAACCTGACTAAAGAGGACTCAGTTCTCACCGCTGCCCCTGGGGAGGGCGACTCCCGACAGAGCCTCCAGCACGGAGCTCTTGCCCGAGCTCTGGTCCCCGATGACAGCGATGGCGGGCAGGGCCAGGTCCTGCTCCACGCCCAGGGCCCGCAGAGAGTCGATGAGGTCGATGCAGGGCCGCACCTTCTCCTCATACTGCCTGCAGAGGTTGTTCTCAGCCACCTGGAGGAGGTGAAAACGCAGAACCTCTTCTGTGTTGCCCATGAGGCACGCAAAAGACAGTCAGCTATACACAGGCTACCAGAATTCCAAAAAGGACTGAAAGATTTTTTTTAAAACTTGAAGAAACGATAATGCGCACAAAGTCCTCAACTGATGAAAACTGGGATCCCAAAGGTCCAAAAAACTACATGACTCTCAAATATACCATAAAACACGTAACAACCTATCACATTGAAACATTTCAAGCCAGGTATAAAGAGAAAGTGTAAAAGCAGACAGGAATGATAAATGGCACACACAGGAACAAAGACAAGCTTGACAGCAGACTTCTAATTAGAAACAGCAGCAACGTGAAGACAATGACAATAGTTTTTCCAGTAAATTTTTTGTTGTTGCTGGTATTTGTCTTGGTTACTTTTCTCATCGCTGAGACAAAATACCCAGTCCTCAAAGTTAAAGGAAGAAAGGTTTATTTAGCTCACTTCACAGAGGTTTCAGTCCATAATTGGCTGGCTGCAAGGAAGAGTGGCTCATGGAAGAAAAGCAGCTCATGGTGAGCAGAAGACAGCAAAGCAAGCAAGAACATCGATGATTGACTCTTCAGATACAAACAACAGCTGTGTGTCTTGGGGCTTCTGATACAAAGGAGAGGAAGATGCAGAACAAAATGGGGGAGAGATGCACGCGTGAGCTCAGAAGGTTCTGGTACCACACAGAAGGTGGTTTCTATCAGGAAAGAAACTGATGTTAATTAAAGATGTATCACAAGATGCTGAGGTTGTTTATATGCCAAACGGGGGAAAGTACTCCTGAAATACCCAGGACTCACCCAAGAAGGCCGAATATCAAGAAAGGGCAAAAAGAGAACAAGCGCTTCAAACAGAAAGCAAATACGGGTGTTGCATTCCCAAGCCTGACACATCACATCAACATGTCCTTGCCATCTGGAGCCCTTGGTGGTCCATGGACCAGGAGGCAGCTTTTTATTAGTCTAATTACTAGTCCTGAGACGACCAATGAAAGTGACTGGGTCTGTTTGTACCGTCAGTGGTACAAGCTGCCTGAATTATGGCTCTGCTGTGCACATGTTAAATATAAAAGGTGAGTGGGCTGCTAGAAGATGCCTTCTCCCTGTGAGAGCCTCTGCCACCATTTCTGATCTTCCTGGGAATGGAGGACAGTGCAACTTGGCACACGAGACCCCTGAGGGTGAGGAGCTCTGCCTCGTTCCCAGAGCACACGGGACACTCACGCAGGGGCGCTGTCACAGCACAGCCCGGCAAACCACAGGTGCGAGGATGCGGGCAGGCTGAGCACCTGCAGTCCTGAACCCTCCACCCTGGCCCCGCTTTGAGGCCCTTCTCTGTCCCCGCAGCGGTGGAGCTCCGGTATCAGAGGCCAGCTGGATGGGAAGAGGCCTCTGCATCCAAGGTGTGCAGATGTGAGTGGCTGCTCCTGCCTGGAGTTGACAGGACCCCCAAAAGCAAGGTGGGGAAGGCTGGGTCCCATCCTGGCACTGTTGGGAGTGCAGAAAACCTGAAGAGGTGACCGGCGCAGCCCCAATGAAACAGGAGACAGGAGACACTCTTGTGGATGACAGTTAACTGTTAGTTTATTTATGTGGGCTCTGGTTTATATATTTGGCCGTGACCAATCACAGGCTGCCACAAGGAAGCAGGGCGGGAATGGGATGTAGGCTCTGGCTACTATATCCAGCTGTGGCCAATCAGGAGTTGCCACAGAGTACGGAGTGAGCGCGGGGTGTGCACGGGTTGGCTAATTTAAAGAGGGACGTAGCGCATTGTGGAAGCTGGCGTGGTCCTTAGTCCCGGCTGGGGTATGGTATGTTGAGCGCCTGCGCCCAACAAAGAGGTAGCCCAAGGAGAGGACTCCAGGATCGCTGCGCAGAGGAGGTTGAAATGGACAAGAAGACGCCAGCCCCTCCCTTCTCTCACTTCTGTTTTCCAGCCATGCTCTGGTGTCCAGTTAGCTCTGTGACACTCCTGCCACCCCATGCCACCAGGTGCCCAAAGCAACAAAGTCCACTGGTCAGGGGCTGAAACCTTGACACTGTAAGCTAGGGAAAACTTCTCTCTTTATAAGTTCATTATCTCAGGGCTTTTTGTTACAGCAACACAAAGCTGACTGACACAAGGCTGTGCATTCACCCTGCCCCACCCTGAAGGTCACAGCCCAGCAAGAGAAAGGCTTGCAAGATAGGGACTTTACAGAGATGGAGAGAAGGTGGCTGTTCTCCCTGGTCTCTGATTGCTATTAATGTCCCTGCAAAGCTATTGACCATTACCTAGAAAATGAGATAATGTGAAATGGGCTGGTGGGCCAGGGCTTAGGACATTTTATCATACACTTCCTGGGGCCTGATATCAATGGCATTTCCTCCTCTCCATAACCATGTGCTCTTTGATGCCCTCTTACACACGGAAAACCGGGCTGCTGAGTGGGGAAAGGCTCCCCGAGATCACACAGCTGAAAGGGCAGCGTCACGACCACAGCTGGAGGGATTTGCTCCCAAGCCCATGTTTAGTTCCCACCAAAAATAGGTCTCGATGGTAGGAAATGGGATACCATGTGGGTCCTCAGGGAGGAAATGTCATAAAGAGACCTCATAGGGAATGCCATCAGATACAGTCCACAGCGTGGACAAGGCCAGCCCTTGCCCCCTGGGCCTGCGTCCAGCTGGTTCTCAGCATCTCACCCGCTTTCCCCACCATGATGGTGCCCCAGGGGCATTCAGCCCAGCTCCATCCACTGAGCAAAGCACCGCGCCCTTCTCTTTGGCCTTCTGCACTGTACCCCTCAGGTGGACCCTGCTCCTGTACACCCTGAGGGCACCTTACCATGGCAGGGGCTTTCTCTCCTTTGTTAGCATCTTCGATGAGCAGGCGATGGCTGGGCGCAGGGGCCACGCGGTGCTTCCTGGCTTCCTGTGGAGAATGATTTGTCTCCATCTTCTTTCTCCTCTTTCACTTGTGCTTAAAGAGAGACAGAAACAGCCCATGAGTGCAGCCTAGGAGGTGGCCAGGGCGCATCCCACACATGACCCTGCAGCAGCCCCTCTGCACTCCAACCCCAGTATGTGCGCCCAGGGTGGCATCACCCTCATAGCTCCATCTGGAAAGGGACCGTGGGAAGCCTCCCTTGTGTCAGGGTCAGTAGACTGGTGACTGAGAGACAAGCAGTTACAAGGGAGACCCACGGGTGGTGGCAGTCTGGAAATCTTTTCCCCAAATCCCTCCCTCTCCTCTGGCCAGCAGGAAGACCTAGTATTCCCAAGGCCCCCGTCTGCCTCTCTGCAGCAGTGCCTTGGTGGCCTTCAAGCACTGGGAAGTGACATCTCTGGTCCCAAGGCCAGCACCCAGCAGCCAGACAGAACATGGGGAGTCTACTGCCTCCTATGGTTTGCTTCATAGATGAGATTTACATCTGAAATGCACCCCAAAGCTCTTGAGTTGAAAGGTTTGCCCAGTGGGTGCTGTTATTAGGGTACAGGATGGGTGTTAAAGGGGGTGGGTAGGGTTGGAGGAGACAGGTCACTGCAGGCACGCCTTGGTGGGTACGGTGCCCCAACCTCTTTTACTTCCCCCTCACCCCGCTTCCTGTCTGCCGTGAGTGCCTCAGGGTGCACTCAGGGCACAGTGCAGGAGTGGGGTGCCCTGAGCAACCCCCTGATCTATGTGCTCATTCTATGCACGAGCACCAGGGTGCCGGCTCACAGGACTCAGCACAGCCAGTTCCTGTTGGGTCCTGGAGGAGTCCAGTAGGGTGACACTGACCCCCACCCCACATTGCTTCTCAGTGGTCCCTCTGTACCCCGAGCTTACAGAAGCACTGCAAGGGCACCTCCCAGCCCTCTTCTAGCCAGTGTTCCTCCCCTCCTGGCTGCACGTCCCATGTGCATAGGCCAAGGGGTGCCCGCAGATTCCCGCAGGATACCCCCAGAGTCAGGGCTGCCTCCTTCCACCCCTGCTGGCTCCTGCTGTCTTTGGGCAGGTGGGGGGGTGGCTGCCCTTCCCACTGGATTTCTTCAGTGGGGACTTCCTGTGGGCACCTGAAGCAGCACTGGACAGAGGTGCCTGGGCAGACCAGAAGGGCACAAAGAGTCCCCTGAGAGACCCCAAACAGGCTCCACCTGAAGAGAGGCCTCCTGCCTGGCAGGCATGGCCAGGCCACAGATGCTGGGTGTTGCCCCCTTGGCACCCTGGCTCCCCCCAGAATAGAATTGTGTCCCCTTCCCCCGACAGGTTCCAGTCTTCAGGATCCAGTGGCTTTTGAATGTTCCCAGGTAATAGTGAGGAGCTTTGGGGTGGGGAAGAAGGGTGGGGAGGTCCTGAGCAGGGAGGTCATGCCTTCATACCTTCCAGGATCCCTTTGGGTGACTTGGGGCAAGGAAAGGGGTGGCTGAGCACCTTAACACCAGGAACCCTGATTCCTAGGAAGAGCTCTGTTCCCAGTGGGTCAGATAATCCCAAAGTCCCATCTGGGCAGTTAGTGGTCCCCAGAGTGAGGAAGGTTTTAGCAGCACCTGGACTCCCCTCACCACCACCACCACGACCACCACCACCACCACCACCACCTCCACCATCCCCGCCACAACTCAGGAATTTGGTGGCAGCTGAAGACTCAGTTCTGCCCATGCCCTCAGCCTGCCTTCCTTGTCTCCCTGGAGTCTCCTGCCATAAGGCAGGGAGGACAGTGAGCTGGGCATTTCTGCCCTGCACCACACTGCCGGCCCTCCCTAGGGACCCCAGCTATCCTTCAGTCCCCTCCCCTCCAGCTTTCCAGGCTCCAGATGCTGCACAGAGTGGGGACTCTGTTTGGGGACTCAGTAACAGCAAGTGACCCAAAGCCCGCTAGGGACCCCCAACCCAGGCCCCGAGGATCCCCTGCCTTGATCCCTGCCCTCCTGTGGCAGGAAAGCCCAGCTGGGGGCTGCTCCAAGGAAATCTGCCCGCAAAGGGCATCACCCATGTCCCCATCACTCTCATCACTACCCGGCGCCAGCACCCCACGCCGGGGAATGTCCTTACCACCCCTCCTCCAGAGGGTCTCCTGTGCTGTCCTGGAGCCCCTAGGCAGTGACACTCACCGGTTCCTGGGCAGTGGCTGAGGGGCTCAGCTTAGCACAAAGCTGGCTACACTACCCAGGCTGAAAGCAGTGACACCTACTGTGCTCATTCTGGAAACCCCCGCCTGTGACCAGCCCAAGGGAGGCGGGACCAGAGCAAAACACACCCACCAGAGCAGGAGGCGGGACCAGAGCGGAACCAAAACCCACCAGAGCAGGAGGCGGGACCAGAGCAGAACAGAAACCCGCTAGAGCAGGAGGCGGGGCCAGAGCAGAACAGAAACCCGCTAGAGCAGGAGGCGGGGCCAGAGCAGAACCGAAACCTACCAGAGCTGGAGGGGGCCCTGAGCCTCAAGGAAACAGAAACCAAAAGCAATCAGGGTCGCATAATCTTAAGAGGCTGCAGTGCCCTCAGAGTTCCTAGGCTTTTGGCAGCCTTAGCTCTGTGCCCTAAACTCAGCACAGTTCTCAGGTCTGCAGTGACTGAGGGCGGCTCCCCCATCTGGGCGGGGTCCAAGGAACCCAGAAAGCCTAGATCACCAAAACTTCAGCGCTGGGAGGCAAGGTGGGAGGGTCACAGTGGCCAGGTCCCTGTGCTGTGCACTGCCATTCCTGGGGTCCAGCAGCCCAGGCCAGGTCTGATGGGGAAGCCCTGCTCCCCTAAGAGCTCCCATGAGCCCACGCCAAGCTCCCTGGGGACCTCACCTACCAGTCAGGATCTGGAGTGACACCGTCCCTGAGCTCTGAGCTCAGGGGTTGGGGCTTTCTGCAGAGGACAGGGCTGCTGCCATGCAGACCGCGGGTGAGCTCCACACACCAGGCCAGCACAGCCTGATACCCACAAACAGGGCTCTTTCCAGAACAGGCTCCAGAAGGGCTAGGCCACGTGAAACACAAGGGGTTACAGCCTGGGCCAGGCCTGGGAGGGCAGACAGGGAGGTGCCCAGCTGCATTTTGCTGGCATTGATCCCTCTGGGTTGGTCCAGGCGCCTCCTTCAGGGCTACACTGAGAGCCTCACCTGCCTGGAAGTCCCTCCCTGGCCCCAATGTGAGGACCTGATCCCCTTTAGTAGTGGCACCGTCTGGCAGTGCCCTGAGGAGCACGGGCCGGTTTTCCAGGGTCACTGTGTATGGAGCCATGGACACCACTCATCCCCAGGGTCAAACCTCACTCCAGCAGCAGTGCTGATCTGGAACAAGCCCCAGCTTCCAGTCCTGAGCAGTGATTCCATGGGAGGAGTTTACCACAGATCACAGGAACCTGCATACCATTATCACACACACACACACATCTGCTATAGGGGAAGAAACTCCCATCCATGTATGGTACCAGTTCGTGTTATCTAAAATCAAAGAATTCTAGGAGGCTAAAAGCAGAATATATTATTGAGAGAAAGAAAGCTTCTGTCTGAGAGAGACAGAAGGGTCCCCAGTGGCTTGCCAAGGACTGTGTCTTTTTTCATTTATGGTTCTGGGGGTTGAACTCATAACCTCACGCTTGCCCAGGCAGGCGCTTATGCCACTGAGCTAAATCCCAGGCCCTAACTCTGTCTTCTGAGCTAAATCCCAGGCCCTAACTCTGTCTTTTCTAAGGACTTTTACAGAGCAAAACCACAAAGTGAGGCAGCTCAATGGGTGGGAAATCATGGGAGCTTGCTAGGTGGGCATGAGGTGGGGCAGAATGAGGGTCAGCCAATAAGATTAACTGCACAGGTGAAAATTATTAAATCGAGGACAAATGGGAAATTAAGTCCCATAGCAACCAGGCATGCTTTGAGCATTGAATCTTCCTGCAGGGGTTGGGCTGGGGACTCCTGGCTTCCTCTGCTGATCCACACCTAATCAGAGTATCAATCCCTCATGCTTATCCTTAGGTTGTGGGTGTACTTATTGGAGCTTTTGTCCTGAGATCTGGCCCACAGCAGATCTCAGGTCTGTGTCCTCTAAGGCTGTGAGGTCTCTGGGTTTCTGCACAGGCTCCTTCAGGGCCCAGCCCGGCCTGCCTGCCTGCCTGTGATATTTCCATATAACTCACTGCCTGTCACACACAAGGGCATCACAGCAAGCAGGGAGTGGGTTTCACCCAGTCTGAAGCCCCACCCACCAAGGACACGGCTGTCCCCACCAGTGAGGAGAGAGGCTCCCCTTTCCCACAGCGGGCACTCACACCCGTGTGCATCCAGCAGTGAGGATGGTTTTGCTTCACCCAGGAAACAGAAGCCCAGCTCCAACTGAGTGCAAACATCTCTGGCCTTGAACAGAGATCAGCCCTGCCATCTGTTCCCACTCTGCAGGGACGGCACCCTATTTCTCAACACTTCCTGCAGGGGAACACCCAGCATGCCCAGGCACTGCCACCACCTCGCTTCTGAAGCTGACTGCTTACAAAACAGCATCGTAGAGACCCAAACGACATAAGAGGTGGCGCTGAACCCCAGGCATGGAGCTAACACCACGGCCTCCTCACTGCCCCACCCAGAGTGACGCCCAGAAAGCCCTTCTGGAAGAATCCAAAAGCCACAGTGAAACATGTCCAGCTGATGAGATCCCTCACAAGGCCACTGCTGAGGGACAAATGTCTCCGTGGGGAGGGAGGGGCTATAGACTGACCTGACACAGGCTGCCGTAGAAGCACCCCTCCCAGCCAGAACAAATTACACTGGATTTAATAAACTGCCCTAACTCACAGGATGCTCAGAGACACGGAAAAGCCTTCCTGTGCATCAACACATCTGTCCCCGAGAAGGGACCTGCGCCATAATGAGGCTCCAGCCCCACCTGACACTTCCTTAAGGGGAACAGAGGCCCTGAGTGAAGTGGGGCGCTCACTGGGTTCCCAATCTCAGCCCTGCTGGGGTCATGATTGCTGGTGGGAGCTGGCACGGATGGAGGGACAGACACACAGCACGGGACAGAGCCCTGTCAGCTGGCGCCGGAGACCGGGTAGGGGTGGGATTGTGGTTATCAGGTAAGGTGGGCACCACATGGGGCGTGGGGAGGTGCAGATCCCCACCAGCAAGGTGCTGGTGGGAAGCAGGGGTCTGTGACATGTGTCCATGTCACATGCTGGGGGCCTGCGGGGTGTGACAGGAGCTCCCCAGTCCAGGGTCCTGGCATAGACTCATAAGAGCAGAGACACAGGGCTCCTCTGGCTTCCCTTTCACAGAGGAGATCCGGTTGGAGATGGCACTAGAATCCAGAGATCCAGCTTTTGGCCATTTTCCTGGTTTCCCAATGTCTACTGAGGCCGCACTGTGTCACTAAAGCTCATTCTCTTTCTTTAAACCATCGCCCTAACTTTGCCCCAACTAGACCACAGCCACCCGGGGCCAGCCTGGGAACAGTCTGTGTGGTTCTCATGTCTGGTGAGTCCTTTTCCAGACCAAGTCCCTAGACTTACTTGTTTTTTTCTTTCACCTAGAGAACCAGCCCTCGGGAGGCCGAGTCCAAGGCCAGTAACACCGTGGACAGCAGAAAACTGATGGCCCGCACAAGGCACGTCTGTCCCTGGGGTACCGTGTGGCACTTGAGGTGAATCATGGCAGCGATCTTCTGGGGTGCTTCTGGTGTTTTCACAGTGCACAGCTCCGCCACCCCGAGTCAGAAGGCAGAGAGGAAGAAACATTGTGAGGGGGTCTGGAGCAGGGCAGACTGAGAGTGACCGGTGAGGCTGACCAGGACCCATGCCCGGGGTGGGGTTTAATGTGGCAACCGTCAAACAGGCAGCAAGGAACAGGAGTGTGGCTGGCGCCCTCTCCCTGCCCCTCCTGGAGGGGGAGCCCGCATCCCACTCAGGATCAGGGTCAGGAGGGAGCCCAGGTGTGGGGCGGAGAAAGCAGGTGAAGATGGGCAGGAGGCCTTGATGACAGAGCGAGGGGACAGAGACTGGGACCTATCCCATGGACAGAGACTTTAGGGTTCTAAGGAGACAGAAGGAGAGAAGGCCTTGGGGGGGCAGAGGGGAGCTGGAATTGCCTGTGGCAGAGTGGCTGGGCTCTCCAGGCAGAGGACGAAAAGAGCTGAGAGACGGGAGTCCTGGGACTCCAGATGTCCTGGTAACGCTGGCTACCTGCAGGAGACCAGCGTCCCCAGCTCCTGAAGGGGGAGGCCAAGGGGACAGTGCCCCAGTGCTGAGACCTAATGCTACGATTTTTCAGGTGGACAAACAGAAGAAAACAGCAAAGTCCCCTGGAGGACACTAGAGACACGCCCACCTCAGAGAGAGGCTGCCTGGGTTGCAGAGGGCAGTCGGTGTCCTGTGGAGGACAGCAGTGACAAGGACATACTCATGGAGCTGGTGAGGCCTCTGGATTTCAGCACCTAATGATAGGTTGGTTTAAGGCCCAGAGATCAAGCAAGCAGTGGAGAGAGTTACCAGCGGGGTTACTGGGGAGGGCTTCTGGCCAGCTCTACACTGGGAATTAAGAGTGCAGAGCCAGCAGGGAGATGTGAAGCCTCTGGCCAGAGGGGTGGCCCCAGGGGAGCTGTGAATTGCAAGGATGCAACAGAGGAGAAGGTGGCTGTTGAGGAGGAAAAGGAAAACGGAAGAATGCCTGAGGACTCTCACCAGAAGGGAAGAGGGTGTCTGACGTGCTGGAGATTCCCTGGGGCATTTCACAGTGCTGCCCTGCTGTGGAAAGTTAATGGGAAGCAAGGCTTGTGATTGCAATAGCTCCTTGATATGATCTGAATGTAGTTTTAGATTCATGTGTGTAATCAGGTTATTTAGTCAAGATACTGTGTGAAAGGCTTTTGGCCCAGACAGGACACTAGCTGGTAGAGCTTTAGAGGTGGAACAAAGCTTGGTCTTCCCTGCCCCTGGGAATTTACCTGTGGCTCTATCTTCCCCACCCCTAGGAATCTGCCTGGGGGGTGGGGGAGAATGAATACCAATGAGATACCTGAGCATCCCTAATGCCCCTCAGGCACCACCTTAAACCTAAGCTACTTATGTGCCTCCACTCCACGTGTCCTCCAGACAGAGAAAGCCAGACTTTAGTGGTGGTGGGGGGGGGGGGTTGGTTTTCTCTCTCCCCGTTCTCAGTAGAAAGGCCTCTTATGTTTTATACTTCTCATCTTTTGCACACGCTACAATCTTATTACTGTGGTCTTAAACTCGATTATTTGTTTCTGGTGTGGAACTGAGTGTCCTCGATATCACTGGGGAGGTGGTGGTTCTCTTCAGGGGAGCCCTGGTCCTTACCCTGAGCCTTGCTTCCTGGCTCCGGTGATCTGCAGGCTGCTGGCCCAGCTCCTCCATCTCGTGGGCACAGACTGTCTGTCTACCACTGCCCTTTGGGCCCTCATAGTGCAGGTCCTTTGTGCAGATTGTGTCAGACACTGTCATGGGCTCCAGGAGCTGGACTCATGGAGGACACTGCTGCGGGATGCAGGCCCTCAGCTGGATTATGTGGTCCCTAGTGTGTGAACAGATCCCTTGCACCTTTCCTCATTTGACTTTTTGGTGACTATCAGAAGGACAGATGGATGGATGGATGGATGGATGCAGGAAAGGCAGAAGGATGAAGGATGGAGGGAGAGATGAATGCCAGCGTTGATGGGGGTGGGTGGCTAAGGAGATGATGGGTAGGGAAGTGGATGGGTGGATGGAGGATGGGTAGAGATGAATGGATGGATGGGGGTGGTAGGGGAGGGGAGATGGATGGACAGAGAATGGGAAAGAGATGGATTGATGACTGCACAGGGAGTAGGTGAATAGATAGAGGATATGTGGATGGACAGATGTAGGCAGAGATGAAGGAGCCAGTTTGGCCCATGTCACATGCTGGAAGTGTGGTTTTCAATGACTGACTCATATATATGCTGGGCTTGGCTGAACCTGAGCACAGGGATCCGGTGTCAAAGGGACAGCCATATCACATGGCTGAGATGGCACACCCCTAGCCCATTTTAGTTACCCCCAGATGCCTGCAGGCCCAAGCGGCATCAGTGTTTTTAGAAAAATCAGCTTGCAGGTCCCCTAAGAGTAACCTGGGCAGCGTCACCATGACCCACACGTCCGAAGTATCTCTAAGTGAAGTGGGGAAATGAAACATGCCCTGTGCCGCACACTACCGGGGGTTCCTAACTTGACTAAGGCTGGAGGTGGCCGGGGCCGTGCAGGTTTCTCCCGGGTACAAATTCCCCAATCCACACAGGGCTGCTGCTTCTGTGGTTTGATCAGGATCTCACCTGGGTCTGCAGAACCTTGCCACACTACAAAGGGAACCAACAGTCCCCTGCTTCTGCCCCTAAGGGCTTCTTCTGTTCCCTGAATGCCACCCCACCACGGAGATCTCTTACTGGGTCCCTTAGGTTTGGTAGGACTTCCAAGCTCCATAAACACTAAGTGAGCATGAGCCAGCACCTAGGTGGCCCCTCCCTCCCAAGCAGTGAGACCTGCAGGGCCAGCACAGACTGGCAATAGGGCTGTTGGGGATGGGAACCCCACAAGAACCCCAAAGCCAGACCCTTGGACCTCACTTCCACCTAAGAGGCCCAGCTGTGTCCCCTCACAAGAGGGTCATGTCAGCAGTTCCAGGAGTTTGCTACCTTACAGCTCTGGGAGTTGGGGTACCATGTGCCCCTAGGATGCTACGGGAGTCTGGTCCACAAAATCACCCAGAACCTGGCATCTACCCCTGCTCTCTTACATAGGGGACAAGCTGCTGACGACAGACAAAGGGGCAGTGGCACCAATACTAAAGACTTCCCTTCTCTGAGGTACACTAGGAAAGGAGATTCGGCCAACTCCAGGTGGCACCGTCCACCCCGTGAGGTTGGGTCTTTAGCCCCTGTGCTGGCCACTGGCAGGATGCATCTCAGAGTGTCAGGGCTGCAGAAGCCCTGCGGGCCCAGCCAGCTCTGCACATGGTCAGCCATCAGGAGATCAGAGAGTAGGTGCTCCCAGGGGGACCCCAGGAATGAGTCGGCCCACAGGGGTGCCCAAAAGCAGGCAGGAGCCCACCCAGGACTCTGCTCTGCAGCTGCTGGAGCCCCCAGAGAGGGAGCAGGGTAAGATGACCCTGACATCGGGCAGGGTACTCGCAGGGCTGTCTGGGCCAGCCTGGGGCAGCCTCAGTGAGTGCCACATGGTGGGTTGGTCGTGTGCTGTGACTTCACATAGCCAGCACTGTCTTGGCTGACACCAAGCTCCAAATACTCGTTACAAAGGGACCCTGGGACCTAGCAGCTTCTCGGGCCATACCAACACGTTTATTGAGTGTGTGCAGCACTAGCTGGGCTCCCTGGGCACACAGCCCTCAATCTGGATCTCCGCCGGCCAGCCATGGTACCTGTTCTTGGCACCGTCAGAGTGGTTGATCTGTGTGAGGGAAGAAGAAGAGTCCCATTACTCACTAAGCCAGCAGATGGACAGAGGCTTAGCCTGGGTGATCCCTGAGCAAAGGGACAGGACAAAGCCACCTCCTGGAGTGGGCTCCACTGGACTAGGGGGGCAGCTGAGTCCCCCCATGTGATTCTGGGTTTTGGGGGGGGGTTTTTGGCATTTTGAGACAAAGTCTCTCTATGCAGTTCAGACTGGACGTGAACTCACTGTGTAGCCCAAACTGGCCTCGAACTCACAGTGATCCTCCTGCCTCAGCCTCCCAAGGGCTGGGATTATGGGTGTGCACCACACCTGGCTCCTGTATCATGATTCTCAATGACATCAGAATGAGGCCTCAGACTTTCTGTGACAATGGTGATGTTCCTGCTGCCAGCCACACTAAGCTAGGAAACGTGGAGGGAGGATCAGCAGATAAAATTCTCTTTAATTTTAATAAATTAAAATGCATATGCAAATTTGGCTGCCCCTATCCACGGTGGAAAACACAGCTGTGGGTTTTGGTTTTCAGATCTGAGAGCAGGATGGATCTTTCTTCTCCTTGAATCTTTAAAAAGATTTTAGTTTTTACTAATCCAGATTTGCAGTGACCTCCTCATGGAAGCTGGGATATGCAGGTAAACTCATCTTTGTTCTCTTTGCATTCCCCTCCATAGCTCATGTTTTCAGAGGACATTAGAGTCTGCTGTGTAATGTATGTGCTTTCACACGCAAGGTGAACCCCGTGTAGAGAACCAACTCCTCTGGGTACTAAGCGCCTTCGCCTAGCGTTTCAGTGAAATGGTGCATCTGCTTTGGGGTTCAGTTCTACTGAGATACGATTGCACCCTTAAGGCCCAGTGTGGTGGTGCACACCCATAACCCCAGCACTCTGGGAGGCTGAGGCAGGAGGATCAGAAGTTCAAGTCCAGCAGGGGCAATTTAGCGAGATTCTGTCTCAAAAACTCCAAAAGGGCTGGGCGTGTACCGCAGTGCACAGCTCCAGATCCAGTGCCAGTGCCACGTGGTTACGCAGAGCAGCAGGACGCGCCGCTGCCCCTCTGGTCAGTCCCCAGGCATTTCCTCACCTGACGAGGACCCGCAGACCCATGAGCAGCCATCCTGCCCCTGTCCCTGAGGGCCGCATACCCTGGAGATCACACAGGAGTCTCCCCTGCGTTAACCTGTGTGCTTGGCTTTTGTCACCAGCCATGAGGTCTGGAGGCTCATCCCAGGGTGGCGAGGGCGGAGGAAGACCCCAAGGCTCGGCTCACCCGCGCTTTGGCACCGTGGCTGTGTCTGGTAGACTCTGATGCTGCTTCTGAGCCCAGGGCCAGGGTGAAGGTGCCCCACTGTCTCGGTGGGGGCCCGAGGGTGCCCACCGGCGCCCAAGTTCATTGCCCTAACTGCGAGGAATGGCCCCGAGTGCCACCATCGCGCGTCTCATCCACAGCCAAGGCAGACAGCTTCTTGGCACCACAGCTGCCCCAGGGCAGGGTGGGGCAGCCTCTCCTGCCCACTCCCATTAGCCTTCTTCCCAACACTAAGCATCACAACCGTCCAGGCAGTTCTGCCCAATGCAGAGGCTCTGAGGAAACATTTACTCCAGCCCAGTCAGCGCTGTGGCCACTGTGAACTATGTGCTTCTTACTGTCAGGCTGTGAGAGTTCTGTACACAGCACATTCATAACCCAGCACTGAGGAGGCTGAGGCAGGAGGGTCTCCAGGAGTTCAAGGCCAGCCTGCACTGCACAGTGAAGCCCTGCCTCGAAAAAAGAGGGGAGAAGGGAGAGGGGAGAAGGGAGGGGGAGAGGGGAGAGGAAGAAAGAAGGAAGCAAGGAAGAGTTCGGTTTGTATTCTGAACCCAGGTCTGTTATTTCCAGGTATTCACTCTCTATGCGCTGTTTACTCCGCAGTGTTCTTTGGGGCAGAAAAGCCTTTAATTTTGACAAGGACCAGTCTGTCTACTTCCCCTGTGTCGTTACTGGTTCCATCTCTAGGAAAGTGCTGGCTGGTCCCAGGTCACACAGATCTGGTCTGCTTTCCCGGGATCTGAATGTCCCCGCGGTGAGGCCCAGGTATGCAGTCCATGCTGCGTTAACCTTTGTATCTGTTTGGTTTACACACAGACTCCGTCTTTCCCGGCACCATTTCCTGAAGAGTCTGTCCCTGTCTCACTGAACGGTCTCACTGCCCTGTTGCAAGTCAAGGCTGGCCGTGAACTCACAGTGATAAGCCCGCCTCAGCCTCCTGAGGTCTGGGGTGCAGGTGTGTGCCACCGTGCCGGGCTAACCCTGGTGTTTCACAGAACACTCTGGCACTGACCTCCCCTTTCCTACAGGCAAGGGTCCCAGGTCCCGAGAGGTCACACTGCCGGCCCCAGAGCACAGAGCCAGGGCATCCTGACCACCTCAGGCTGTGCTACATGTCCTAGGAGGCTGGGGACCTGGGGCTTCCCAGCTGGCCTGTGGGGTGCTGCCCATGGCACAGCAACTGGGCCTGAGGAATGCTCCACAGGACAGGTGCATGCCCGGCAAACCTGACCACGGCCTTTCATGCTGGGCTCCCTTTGACCTGTACGGCTCCGGGCATCAGAGGCCAGGGCACTCCCATCTGGTCCCTACAGCACAGCCAGAGGCTACAGTAGGTGAGGAGCAGCCCAGGCAGGGCCCTGGGAAACCACCTGACCCATCCTGCACCACAGTGGACTTTGTGTGAGGACAGCCACAGTCTGACCCCAGTGCCTCTCGAAGGCCACAGGTCTCACCTCCCCTAGTCCCCATCCTCCACCTCACCAGGTCAGGCTGCTCCATCCATTCCTGCTGGCCCTGTGACCAGACCCAGGGCCCAGCATCCAAGTCCAGCCCGAAGTGATCGGGTGTCCCCCATGGAACTGGGCACTCACTGCACAGCCCGAAATCTACTGCCTGCTCCTGAACCTGCTGTCTTCTGCCGGCTTGAGAGGCTGCAGTGAAGGCCCCAGAGGTGTCCACTGCCCGCCTCTACCAAACTCTGCTGGACCTCACGGCCACTTGGGAGTTCACAGAGTAGGACGCTGTACTTTTGTGCCTTTACTTTGACAATGGGGAGGGGTGCAATCAACCACAGGGCAGGTCACTACAACAGCGCCAGGAGCTTGGGGTCTGTAATGCCAGCACTCAGGATGTGAGGCAGGAGGGTCCCTGTGAGTTTGAGACCAGCACGGGCTACACAGTGGGTTCCAGGCATCTTAGTGAGTTCATGTGAGACTCTGTCTCAAAACAGAAAAACAAGCAATTGAAGAGCCCCACGATGACCAAGCGCTTATTCGGTGCCTGTACCCTTGAGGTCCTCACCTCTGCCAACCTGGGAACTGTCCCCATCCCCAGAGCAGGGGCAGCGAGAGCCTGACCTTCTGTACCAGGGAGTGGCTGGGCCCCACTGTCAGGCAGGGAGGGACCCTGACTCACCTTCTCCCTCGGAAGCCCCGCGGGCAGCTCAAAGCCCCTGGCCGCCAGGAACACCCAGCTGGACCTGAACCTCATGTTCTGGATCTCTTTGCTTCCCAGCGCCTCGATGGCTTTCCTGGCCTCAGCCTTGAGTCTGCGGGTGAAAGGGGGGGTGGTGTAAGGATGGCCCCGGCCCTGCTGTGTCCACTGCTATCCCTAGATGGGTGCCAATGGTAGCTGAAGAGGCAGGAGAGCTGGGGGAGCTGTACCTGCTGACTAACAGTGAGTCCTACTCAGAGCCCCCTTTTGCAACACTGGGGATTGAGAACAGGGCCTTTGAAGTGAGTTGTATCCCTGCCCTCTTTTTTACTCTGAGACAAGGGCTGGCCTCAAACCTGTAGCCCTCCTGCCTCAGCCTCCAGACTGTGCTGGGATGACAGGCCTCACACCCCATCCAGCTGGTTTCAGGCTGGGACCCAGAAGCTTTGCCTTTGATTCTCAAGGCCCTCGTGCTTGGCCTTTGTCCCAGTGAAGGTCGGAAGGGCCTCCAACCCACTGCAGCAAAGTGCGCCGTGAGGGAAGGAAAATGTTCAAGCACTCTGAGGTCAGATATGTTTGGGAAACAGGCCAGCCTGTCCTTTCTGCTCTACACAGACAGAAATGTGTCTTCCTGGGACTGGGTCTCCTGCCTGGAGAGGCTGAGCTGTGTCCTCCCAGTGTGGCTGCTTCCCCTAGCTCTCCACACTCTGGTTAGCGATCAGATGTGAGTTGCCCACCCCACTTGGTCACTGCCTGCCATTCCTCTGCCTTCAAGAAGCCTGGGGCCCACAGTCTTCCTGTCCCCCTCACTCCGGCCCAGGATGAGGCTGGGGAACTCTTGTGGCCGTTCTGTCCCCTCTCACCTGGTGCTTCCGTCGTCTTGGGTCACCATGAGCAGCAGGGACTTTGCAGGTGCGCTCTGAATGAACTGGGTCATGGGTGCTGAGTTATCTGGGGGCCACAGAGAGGCAGTCAGGGTCCTCCCCAGCCACAGGGCCCTGCCCTGCTGCCTCAGCCTCCTCATGTGCACCAATCCCTGACCACCAGGGCTGGGCATGACCAGCAACCATGGCCCTCACACTTCCCACCAATGCTGGGACTGGGCAGGGTGCACTGCATGGACGCCTTACAGGACTATGGGATGAGTGACAGGGACGCCAGAGGACAGGCTCCTTGGAGCTGGACAGCAGCTCCTCAGGAGATGCCTGGGAAAAATCAGACCAGAAGGTACTGTCCGAGTCCTCCAGGCCGGGCCCCGGGGGACATCTCTTTCTCCCCAACGCTGGACAGTGGACCCAGGGCTCTGCATGAGCCAGGTCCACCACCCTTTTTACTGCTCCTGTCATCGCTGTGGTCCTGGCTCTTAGATCACTAAGCTGCCGGGGCTGGGCCTGAACCCGGATGCTACAGTGCATCCTGCAGTGCAGACTGGGGAATCCTGCTCTCTCCTGAGTTGGCGCCTTGATCACCCTCCAGGGTTTGCCCAGGGGTCACAGTCACCTGCACTGTGACAGACACGCGCTCTTACCGCCTGCGTACATATCGAAGGTTCGGGCTGCTATCACCTTCCCGGTCACATCTGCAAGTGACAGACCACGTTTCAGAGTGAGCTCCCAGGGTCAGGGGCATGGCCCAGGGCCCCAAGGGCATGCTGCTGCCCTGTGTCCATCAACAGACAGCTCAGATAGAGCTTGGTCCAGCCATGGGGGAAGAGGACAGGGACAGCCCGGGCAGCTGCTCTGAACTGTCTCTCCCACTGTTCTGCCATCCATGCCGGCTTGCGGGCCACGAGGGCTGCATTCCGGGGAGCTGGGCAGGGACCTCAGTGCTTTCTCCTCCTGGTCCCTCCCTTCCTCTCTCCCTTGGGGTCCCTGCGCTTTTGCAAAGGACCCATCTCCCTGTCTCCTGTTAGCTTCTGTCTTGCTCTCTGACTTATTTATGCCCTTGTCCTCCTGTGAGACAGGCCAGGTGACATTTAAGCTTGAGTCTGGTAAATTTCACTTGACATGATGGTCTCAAGGGGCATCCACTGGCCTACAGGAGACTCAGCTTTGTCATTTTTCATGGCACAGTAGTACTTCACAGTGTACAAACACCACGTTCCTGCTGTCCCTTTACCTGCTGCTGGAGGCAGAGGCCACTTCCAAGCCTCCCCTGTGTGAGATGCACTGCTATCCACCGGGGGCCACTGCACAGGGCACTGTGATTCAGGGTCTTTAGGCAGAGTGATTCTCAACACAGCTCCTCCCTCCGCCCCCTTGGTCCTTCCCGCCCTGACAACAGGGTCCCCGGGGCTCCTGGCCTGGCAGCATTTGGTCTCATGCGCCCAGCCCTGCCGACACTCGCCCTCGCTGCCAGCCTGCCCAGGGACACTGTAGGTAACTCTGTCCCTGAGCTCCCTGGCTCCTCTGCTGGGACCCAAGGGATCTGCCGCCCCTCACAGGATCCAAGGCTTGAGATCCACAGGCCCTCGGTCACAGGGAGGAGACAGGCAGACAGTGTCACCCAGCTATGGGTGGAGGTGGGTAGCAGCCCCGTCCCTGCCCTGGCCCAGCCCGGCTGCTCAGCTGGGCCTGCAGGGCCTCCTCTGCACGGCCTGGGTCTGACTGCACAGCCCTTTACACTCAGCTTTCCGGTCACTTTCTGTTGTCACTGGAGCCACTAAGAGTGTAGAAATAACTGCACAACTGTAAAGTGCACTAAAATACAGCCCTGACAGGACGGGGTCGCAGGGGCCTAAAAACCCAGGGCTGCTGTGAGAATCCCTCTGGGGCCCTGAGGACTCTGGGGAAGGACGCACTGACTCACAGCTGACCACGGCGATGTTGATGCCTCTCCCGATGTTCCCCAGCTTCTCTGCCATGAGCCTGGAACGGGAGCCGAAGTCAGCCCAGCCGCCCTCCTTGCAGGGCTGCGAGCCGCACAGGGCACAGCCCTCCTCCGGCCACTGCTGCAGTGCAGGCAGTGCTGGGAGCCCCAGGGAGGCCCGCCCCTTTCTGCAGACCCCGTCCCCAGCAAAGCCTGCACTGCTGCTACAGCACAGGGGAAAGGCAGCGGTGGGGGTGTGGTGGGCTGGGGGTCTCGCATCCTTCAGCCCGGCTCCCTGCTCACCCTGCCCCTGAGCACCCGCTCTCCACACATAAACACTGCATTCCTGAGAAGTGCCCAGCGGTGATATGGTGTGAGCCCATCCCTGCTGCAGAGCACGAGACACCCGGACAGAAATGGGGAAATCTGTCTGTACCCTCCGGGGCCAGCTCTGTGACACCGCTCAGTCGGGAAAGCTCCATGCAAACTGTGGGGCTCCCAGCCTTCACATGAGAAGAGCATGTTCGTGTGTCTAGGTACACACCCACACACGGGTGCTCCTGTGTACATGCATACACACATAAGCAAAACACAAACATGCACAGGTGTGAAAGAGTTTGTTTTGCCATGAAGCATTAAGGTGGCAAATCAGAAACTAGCACCAAAGATGTGCAGTGGTGAATCGGGGCTTGTAGGGAAGACTCCTCCACGTGCACTTTTCTGATACAGACACGAATTTCCGAACCACATGAAGGAGGGAAATGAGTTAAGAGGTAAAATCTCAGCAGGTAAGGGAGGCTCCTCCGTGTTCAACCAGGGTTGAAGGAGTCACAAAGGGCAGAAGTCCCTCTTCCCCGCTGCCACTGAAGTGCTGCACAGCAGGGCGGCCTGGTGGCCCCAGGCCTGGGTCTCGGTCTCAGGGCCGCACAGGACCAGTGTCTCCTCCAGGTCTGAAGCCTCGGGACCCAGCGAGCCAGGTCTCTGGGAAGCAGCACAGCGGGCAAGAGCGGGCTCTGAGGACAGGCCAGGCCAGGACCCGCATGGGCTAAAGTGATGGAGCTCGTGGTGACCACACTGCTCACATCGGGAGCAGGTGTCTCCAGCTCGCTCTGTCTGAAGTGCAGGTGACAGAGATGTGACACATGATGGGCCACCAAGCACAATGGGGGAAACCCTGCCAGCCAGGCTTCGTGTTCAGCCCTTGGGCAGCTTCTCCCCGTTCACCCATGAGCCAAATGAAGCCAAGGCAGGGGGACATCGCACACATAGCCATATGTGTCCCAGCCTAAGCATAATGCAGGGTGTCCCCACCTACCCTAGGGCCCAGCCCGGTCAGGGCAGACCGGACCCCACCCCCTGGCACCACCCTGGCACTCACAGCTTGTCCTCAAAGCAGATCTTGGCCTGCTTGTCTCTGCCCCCGCCGCTCAGTAACCGGTAGGCGTAGGTGTTGGGGGGACACTGGGTCCAGTGGTCACACTTTTGCCTTCTCGGGGATGGGGCTGCAAGGGACAAGGGCACAGCGTTATCCTCACTGTGACTGATCAGGCACCTGCCAGAAGCTCTCCACGGGTCCCCTGCAGGGGGACTCTGAGGGACTGGTTCCCTGCTCAGCAGATCACAGTCCCCTGCAGAGGCACAGCTCACATCCTTCCTGCGGTTCTCAGGGGTGAGGTGGGGTTGTGCTGCAGGAAGGGAGGTGTGCGGAGCCCCGGCCTGGCAGGAGCCGTGTGTGTGCAGACACGTGTGCAGCCTCTGTCTTTTCACCACTTTACACGCACAAACAGCATATAGCATTCCACAGGCACACACACACACACACACACACACACAGACCCATGTGTGCTCCGTCACCACACCCTCAAGGTGACCCTCTCCTCTCATGGCCAGCTCAGCCCTTCTGCCCAGGGTGCAGGAGTGTGCACCAGGGGTCAGCAAGCCGGGAGGGTGCCTCCTGTCCTCCAAACAGGCAAGAAGACGAGGCTGGAGCTCCTCAACCCTTCCCCATGGGGTGAAAAGCAGGCACAGGCACAGGCTGCCACAGGAGACCGAGTCATCCTGACACCACAGCTGGACAGGGCGCTGCAGGCAGGGCCTGGGTCCCTGAGGGCACAGAGGCCAAAGCTCCCAGCAAGGCGTGAACCAGCGGAAGGCGGCCAGACCATGGAGGATTCACTGGCTCGGCATCACCCACAGAGGACTGAGCTCACATGGGAAAGTCAGTAAGGGCAGCGGCCCCTGTAAGAAGGAGGACAAAGCACACTGCTTCTATCCACAGATTCCGAGAAAATCCTGGGACCAATCTCAGGGTCCTCGCGTCATTAAAGAAGGACACCCCGGGTGGGATGAGGGGAGCCCCACTCAGCACAGTGAAGCGGCCACGGTAAGGAGAGCCCGCATCTAAAGGAGAAAAAGCCCAAGCAGAAACCTTGGGTCTTAGAGAAAAAGCCCAAGCAGAGCCTCCAGGAGGGAAGGGCCTTTGTCCCCGCAGAGGTGAGCGGCCCAGGTCGCCTCCTCCAGGACCAGTGCAGGACAGGACGCCCGCACTCTCCACCTCTGTCCAGCGCAGCCCTTGGAAGCGGAGGGCAGGGGACCGGGCAGCAGGAATCCAGAGGCAGCTGAGGAGAAGAGGGGAGAAGGAATGTTCTCCTGGGTGCTGACAGGCAGGGCTCCGTGAAGACCAGAACTGTAAACCAGTCCCATAAGCTGCAGGATGTAAATGAGCACCCAAAGCCCAGAGTAGCTGTCTCCTCTCTCCCTCCTCCTGCGCTCCCTTCTCTTTCCCCCACCTTCAAATAAATTGTCTTTAAAAAAAGAAAAGAAAGAAATCAAATGACAAGTGTGGGCGAGGCCGCAGGGCAGGAAGACCCTGCTACCCTGCGGTGTGCGTGGGAACCAGCACAGCTGCAGTGCTGATCAGGATGGAGACTGCTCAAGAACTAAAATAAGACATTCCATTTGACACAGCTACTCCCCTTTGGGTGTCTCCCCAAAAGCTAAAGGTGTGTGACGCACACAAACTCTTGTTTATAGCAGCACAATTCATAACAGCTAAGCCCTGGCAGTGACCCAGACATGCACCAAGAGACGAATGGCAAAGAAAATGTGGTACCAAAGCAATGGAGTATTACTTGGCTATGAGTAAGGATAAATTTAGGTATTTGCAAGAAGAGAGTCCCACGTGGAAAATGTAATCAGAAGCGAACCAAATCACACAAATTTCAATAACGTTTCTCACCTCTCATCTGAGCATGGAGACAGGCAGCTTATTAAGGAAGGAAAGAAGGGTCTAGGGATTTAGCTCAGCGGCCTAAGCCCCTGCCTTGCAAGCAGGCAGTCGTGAGTTTGATCCCCGGTACCAATAAAAAGGAAAAAGACCAAAAAAAAAAAAGGAAATGAAGACTGCAAACAGGAGAGAGGGACAGCTCTTCTGTCAGCGGGCAGGGGTGGGAAGGGCAGTGAAATCAGTTTAACATTTAAAATTCACTTTCATGCTATCAGTGGGCAGTTGCAGATGAGGGTCACTGTAGGGTTATTAAGCTTATGAAGAGCGTCAGGACCCACAAACCCTCACCAGGACAAATGCCCTCTCCATGCAGGGGCTCTCAGGCGGCAGTGATTCTTACATTCAACCTGGACCTGAAGGCTTCCTTACTATTTTCCCTGATTTTTTGTGTTGTAGTATGGAACTGAACCAGGGCCCTCACACTGAGCTACACCCCAGGTCCTTTCACAGTAGATTTGGAGCCAAGGCCTAGGTCACCATGTTGCCCAGGCTGGGGTCGGAGCTTGTGACCCTCTTGCCTCAGCGCCCAGGAATCACCAGGGCCAGATCCAGGCTACAGGTTTAAAGTCCTGACCTAGGGTCCTGGAATCCACGTTCTCGAAGGCTCTTCCCATCTGGAGACTGAGACCTGGGTCTGAGTGAGGAAGGTGGTGCCAGGGTTGGGGACCGAGCCGAAGCCTCCAGCACACTGAAGGATGGTGCCCATCTGTGGCCGGGCCTCGCACACAGAAAGGAGGGCCCCATTTCCATGCCGACGGCAGTCTGCATATTCCAATGGCCTCCCATTGAGAGGGAGGTTGAGTCCACACCCACGGGACCAAGAGTAGTATCCAAGCTGGGTCCATTCTGTCTATCAGGGGCACTGACTTCACAGGGGCCTCCGAACATGGTGAAGGCCAGCGTGGGGGACAGAGGTGCTGCATGAGGGGCTTCATCACTGAGACCAAGGCCCAAGTAGAGCGACTTAGAGAGGAAAGCTAGGCTCCGGCTCCTGGCTCGAGGGTCTCGGACAATAGCAGCCTGGACCTGTGACCTCCTAGGAGCTGGGGTAGAGGGTGAGGACCATGGACAGGACTTGGTGACCTGGGGAGGCGGGTCCTGCTCTCAGATCTCATCTAAGCTGACCCCCAACTGGACTCCCCACCCCCACTACAACGGTTCCCCTCCAAACACAGGCCCTGAGCCAGAAGGAGCCCAGACAGCCAGCGAGCCAGGAAGGGGCCACCAAGATCCATGCCGGTCACCACGCCTGCATTGTAGCATCATGGGACACCACTGCCCTGCCCCAAAATCAGGCCCAGCACAAGACAGTCAGCCCCCTGGAGCATGCCTCCCGCCCTGACCCATGGCACTGGCTCCTCCTTAGGCCGGAGGCACGAGTGCAGGCAGTGCTGGTACCAGGACCTTAATAAAGAATACACACAGCAGCCCCCTCTCAGGAGGCTGACGCAGGAGGATGGCCACAACTTCAGGGCCAGTCTGGGCTACACAGAGAGCTCAAGGCCAGCCGGCCAGAGGTGCATAGTGAGATCCTGGCTAAAAAAAAGCCCCCAAAACAAAATCAGCTGCTTCAGGCACAGTAGCTCCTATAATGCTCCTTTTCCTCCATAAAATGAGCAGCTTCCATAAAAATTTTCTAAGCATTTCACAGCTGTTCAATTTTACATGAGTTAATTTTTTATGCTCTATTAAAAATCTACAGACAGCAATTTCCAACAAGCTATTAGCAGTGGTTCAGCTGCCGGTTTCCGGTGCTCCAAAGGCTTCTGGTCTAATTTTACCATCGCCCTTGTGCTCCACTCAGGTGAAATTCAAACCAGCAGTCTCCCACAGTGCATCTGGCTCATCCAGTTTCTCCGCAGAATTTCCTACTTTACCCCTGGGCTCCAGCCTGTTCCCGTCTGAGGTGAAGGGTGGACCTCAGCCACATGGGTAGGCGCAATGCACGGGTCAACACTTGAGGAATTAATAAATCAGTGTGCTTGCATGAGGGGTCTTTCCCACAGTGACAACACGGCCTTCTGGGAATGGGTGTGACAAAATAACTTTGCTACCAGAGAATAAAGAGCACGGTGACCCTTAGAGAGGCACCACATGGGGCCAGGAGGAGGACTGTCACGGGGGCCCTCTGCAAGAACCTTGATCTCAGCTTCTGGGTTTGTGGGGCAGGCATTTCTCTGGTTGACCAGCTGCCCTGGCCATGGCGATGTCACAGCCACTGTAGGGCCCGGACACTGCCCTGGGAAGCAGGCCAGAGAGCATCGCCTCCTGGACGCTGCCCTCCACCCACTCTCCGATGGCATCTGGTGTCTGCTCTGCAGGACAAGAGAGCTGGTTCCGGCCTCCTATGCACGCCTGCCTGTGCCTGAGAGGCAGCACAAGAGAAGCCCGGGCTCACATGCCAGCTGACACAGGGGCCACCGGGTGACAGAGGGGCTGCAGACTGAGATGCTCTTCAGGGTATTTATCGCAAACTCATTCGAGGTGCCTGACATTTCTTCCAAGTCCTTTCCAAAGTAACAGCTGCTTTGCACATGGCTTTCAAGATGTTCAATCTCTTAGATTTTATTTTGAGACGGGGTCTCCGTACAGAGCCCAGGCTGGCCTTCAACTTGTGCTGATCCTCCTGCCTCAGCCTCTAAGTGTTAAGATTACAGCTGTGCACCCCAGCTCCTGTCTCCCTGCTTTAGAAAACTTAATGTGCCTCCAGAATGGGGGACCTGGACCTGCCTAGGTTTTGACCCGGGGCCTCCAGAGATCCTAGGGCGGGCAGGCTGCAGGTTTGGGGTCACATCCCATGCTCACCTTTGAGGACAGGCTTCTCCCCGATGCTCCGCACCATGTGGACGGTGCTGGACAGATGCACGTCAGGAATGAGCTCTGTCACCAGGTACCCAGAGTACCAGGCACAGAGGGAGGCGAGGACCAAGAGCAAGGCCTTCAGGGCGCCTGGAGACAGAGGACAGAGGCACCAGACAGCTGTCAGCAGAGACCCTAAGTGCACGCACGACAGATGAGGAAAGGAAGGGTTTTGCAAAGCAGTGGAGAGGTAGGAGGTGGGCTCCTACACATCCAGCCAAGCCTCCAGGAGTGTGACCCAAGCAGAAGTGACTGCTCCATGTTAGCGCAGGACGGAGCCAGGGGGCCAAAGTCTCGGGCAGCAGGCACGGCACTCCTGACATAAAGAATGTGTATGACCAGGCGAGTCCAGCACAGGGGACAGGAAGGGAGAAGACAGGCTCTTGCATGGGTGGGGGCTGGCCCACGGGCTGTCCTCAGCTCCTTGCTGCCTCCAGTCACTTGGAAAGACAGGCAAGGGAAGGTCAGCCGAGAAACAGACACTCAGGGCTTTCCTGACTGGTCTAACCACTGTACCCAGCTACCCTCCAAACTCCCCATCCCTGGAAAAGCATGAGGCACTGTCCTCTTCACTTGTCACAGCTTCCCGAACTCCTATTCTGCCACAGATGCTCCAGCTGGAGCAGTCCTGTCTGGCAGATGCCCAGGACATCTGCTGGGAAAGGGGCTGATGGGGGGCCCTGGCCCGACCTAACCCAAGTCTGTGCTCCAGGCAGCTGTCACACCCACTCCCCCAAGCACCCAGAAGGAGCAGGGGACAAACAGGGAGAGCCTCCTAGCCCCATTCTGGCCTGAACCCCCATTTCCAGGCCCAGTCTAACAGGAAGTTGCCCTGCTGAATTCCCTATCTGAATTGCCTGGCAGGTTCTGGCCAGACCCCTCCCCCACCACTGGGGGTTTGGAGGGCCCACTCACCTGCAGCCCTGAGGCTCATCTTTCAGGTGCCTCTCCTCACCACCCCCAGGCACCTGCCAGAACCTCAGCCTCACTGAGGCATAGGGAGGGAACAAGGGAGAGAATCTGCCCTCATTCTCCCCAGGTCAGTCTGCAGGGAAGGGACGGGCCGCTTACAGGGAGCTGCCAGGTGGGGACAGGCCAGGCTAGAGCCAGTGGCTGGGCAGGTTTGGGCAGGGCCATATCCGGGGCTCACCCTGGAGCTCAGGTCATGCGCCACACAGGCCCTTTACCATCAGGCTGTCCTGGTATAGGGCTGAAGATGCCCTGAGAAGCCCAGGTGAGAAAAAGACCCGGAGGCGCCATGATGCCAGGAGTACCTGCATTGCCAACCAATGTCCCCCAAGAGGGAACGGCTGGGGAAGGAAGCTTGATGGAGCCTTTGACCTCTTCCCCACCTCAGAATCCCGTTCCCTGGCCGCCGCTCCATGGCCCTTTGATCCATGTAGGACAGCTCGGAGTCCATGTGCTGTGGACACAGCCAGCCACACGGGGCTCCCCGCCCTCCTCTGCTGAGGGGAAGTTGGACGCTTCTGTCGGGGGTGAGGGCAGGGTCCTGGGGCAGGTCCCAGACCCAGAGGGCATCTGACATCTAGACCCCAGCAGGACGGCCAGAGCTGGCCATCTGGGACACAGTTTCAGTGCAAACACTCCTAGGGTTTTATTGTGCTCTAAGCCGATGTGGTCAGGGCCATTTCAAGCTACAAGAGGAAGTCTGGGCTCCAGGGGAACCTGTCTTCCTGCCAAGTGAGGTCCCCAATCTAGCAAGATCCTGCCCAGCAGGCGCTCCATGGGCTCTGCCAGGTCCTCTCTCCCCAGGAGCCCAAGGATTGCCCATGAAGCCCTGCACCCTGGGCTTGCTGGGGACTGATTTTATGGTGGCTGTAACCCTCCTTCCACAGCCCTATCCCTGCTGAGATGTCCTGTGGAGAGTCCTGCCTCCTGTAGGTAACACAGCTGCCATCCTCTGGTTCACACCACTCACGTCCTCCTAAACTTCAGAGGCCAGAAGGCAGGACTCGGCTAGGGTCTCAGAAATGTACCGCACCCGGCCGAGGCGTGGCCCGTCTTGTCCCTACAACTAAACTGCCCTCTGGCATCCTGTGAACCTTTCTCCAGCCGTGCCTGCCTGTGGCTAAGACTGGGAAACTGGGAAACTGAGTCCCAACTTTCTACACCAAGAATTTTACCTGTGTCATTAGCTCACCTAGTCTCAGAAGGGGGCTTTCAGCCTTCTGAGTTTGTTTGTATCTTTAAACAGTTTCGGTACTAAAACGCACAACACACAGTGAACCTGCTCCCTAAATTCCCTTTATTGACCTCCAGCATGGTGCCATCTTGTAAGAGGAGAGAACAGCGCCTGTTACACATTAACTCACTATAGTCCTTCCACCCTGCCTGACAGCCACCCCGGGGCCTCTTGCCTCTGCAAACTTGGCTTCTCAGCCCGCCTGACACATTAGGAGTCTTAGGGTCTCTGCCTCAGGGAGCAGTTTTGCTCCCACAGCTGAGCACCCTCAGGTTGAGAGCAAGCCCGGCAGAATGCTCACATCCATCCATCTGTCCAACCACGGACTCGTAGGCTGCTTCCACTTCCTGGATAAACCTGCCACGGAGAAACATCTCTGGGACACCGTACTTCAGTGCTGTGGGACACACACTGGCAGGCGGGGCTCCCAGGTCACAAGGCAGCCTTGGTCTTAGCTGCCTCCTGGACCCGCCAGCCACCCCCAGGGCCACTTACCCACGCGCTTGTCAGCATTGCTGTGTGCCTGGGGCATCAGACATAGCCATCTCTGTGGAGGTGAGGTGATCCCTCCTCAGGGTGCTGATTTGTATAACTGGTGATGAAAAATGCCAATCACCTCTTTCTGATCTTGTCTGCCTTTTTCACAGCATCTTGAGGGGACACCCAGCCCAGTCCATTGCCTGTGTTTGAATGGAGTTATTTCTGTTGTTGTTGAGCGGCACACGTTCTTGGCGTACTCTGCACAGTCATTCCTCCTCCATGCTGAGCGAGTCCTTTCAGGTTTGTGCTCCCCCACGCCCCGGGAGGTGAGGTCCCTGGCACGCAAACATGGGGATCAGGGCCTGATTCAATCCGAGACAACCGAGCTACAGAGAGCAAACCACACGCTCTTCTGACCACGGGACCCACGTCCCAGCACAGCAGTCCCCAAGGAAGGCAGGCAACTACAAGTGCACCTGAAACGAGGAAAGCCTGCGTGGAGAAGGCGTGGACTTGGGTGGGCCCAGCACGGCCCTAGGTGGATCACTGCGTTACAGGGTACGTGATCGCCATGTGTGAACACACTGACCAGAGCCCGAACGCGGCACCACTGTCCACCATGCTGACAGCCTGAGAACAGCCTGATCCCTGGGCTTCAGGAGCTGGACTCGCAATCCTTTTCTGATCCACACAGCAGGGAAGACACTGGAATGGCCTCAGAATGGTGACATGAAATCTTGAGTGTCATGAAGTCCCTCAGACAGAGACCAAGGATTCCAATAGGACCCTGTGGCCGCAAGGGTATTCTTCCCAGAGTGCCCCACTGCTTGAACCCCAGGACATCCCCAGTGTCCACTACTGTCACAGTAGAAGCTTCGAACGTTGCCCAGCCACCTCAGAACACCTTGCCTCATAAAAGGCTGTCACCTTCTGAAAAAGAATTAAGATTCAGCTTCTTAACTGCACTGCCCTCCAATGTCTAGGGGTTCCTGGACATCACGTTTTATTTTCCAGTCCCTTGGAGGTGGCCAGCTTTATTTGCCGGGGGTTCACCTCACTGTATCAATTTGATGGCTTTAAGAAATGCCCAGGGGTGAGCAAGGGAAATTGGTGGGTGTGTCTGGGGCTCCTCTCTTGAGGTGTTCCCTGTGGTTCACCCTGCACCACATAGGGAACAGAGCAGCTCTGCCCCACCACTCTGCCACCCTAAGGATTCTGTCTTAGAGCCAGCAGCCATGGACCAAGTCCCCTGAAACTGTGAGGCACATTACCCTTTCCCCCAGAAGTCATGGGTGCTGGCGCTGCACCCCCGTGACAGCAAAGCCGACCGATACACACTGTCTCAACATCTCCTGCTCTTTCTTTGCTTCTGTTGCACCTGTTTCTCTGTGCTGTGCCCTGGAGCTTCTCTATCTTACAATCAGGTCGCTCTGTTAGGAACGTGCTTGGGAAGCCGGCCCGATGGTACATACCTGGAATCCCAGCACTCAACAGCCAGGGGCAGGAGTATCACTGCAAGTTCAAGGCCAGCCTGAACAGGGTTACCCTTTCTCAAAACAACAGACAAAACAAAGCCAGAAACCCCTGCTCCTTGGGAAGTTTTCTGGTTCCTGCAGGAAGTCCTCCCTCGGCTGGCTCAAATTTCCCTCATCATCCCCAGCGAGCCACCAGCCTGGGTCCTACTGCTCCAAGGACAACCGAAGGCTCTGAAGCTTTTTCTGGCCCCAGCCCAAGGGTTTCCTGGTTGGTCTATGGCTTGTACTGAGCACTGTGTTGGAAACAAGAAGCAACTTCTCCAGAAATAATTTGTGTTTGTTTTGCTAGCAGGCCAGGTCTATACCATTCTGGGCAGTCTCTGGGGGGGCCTAGGAACTGATTCTAGGCAATCACTCACCTGACCGTGTGTGGTTAGGTCATGCTTTGGGGAAAAATAGCCCAGGTCACCTGAGCAGCTTTTCCACTACAGATCTGCAGGAGGACAGACCCTCTCCAAACCTGAAGCTCGAACACCCAGAGCGTCTGAGGAGAGGGACAGGGAACCCAGGTCCCCCAGAGGACCTGTACGACCCAGTCCTGTGATTGCTCTGAGATAGGATCTGGCTACGTTGCTAAGGGGCACAGGCTGGACTGCAACCTGGGGTCCTCCTGCCTCAGCCTCTCACAGTGCTGAGTTCACAGGCGTGCACTACCACACCTAATGTGAAACAATACAGTTAATACTTTTGGATTCCACTTTTCAGTTTTAAATGCATGAACTGGGAGTTCTCTTTCTTGGAAGATGGGAGGGGGGACGCACGGAACACACTAAGGCAAACAACATCCAACCTGTGCCGCTTTGTGTCAGACTCAGGTAAAGAGCAACTCGCCCTCCCTCCCTCACAGCTGTCAGGTATCCAGTGCCTCTGCT